GAAATTTGAGATGATGTTTTGAATCTCCTTGAGAGTGCCCTCAGGGATTTTAAAAACTGATATGGGATAAAGACATTGAGCTTGGGCAATAGCCTTAATCAACACCTCCTTGCCAGCCTATGATAAAGTCCTGCTCTTCCAATCTTTTAGTTTTTTCCTTACCCTTTCTTTTATTTCCTCAAAGATGATTTTCTTTGATCTTCCCACCACAGTAGGAAGGCCAAGGTATTTCTGATGCTTCTCAACTTCCTTGATGCCCAGAGTGCCACAAATCTCCAGTCTTCTACTGATTCGAAATTTTTTACTGAAGGAAAGCTCAGATTTTGTGAAATTTATGAGCTGCCCTGATTCCATAGAGTAAGTATTCAGAATTTCCCTGATTTGATCACATTCCTTAAGATTAGCCTTTCCAAAAATCACGCAATCATCCGCGAATTCGAGATATCTTTGATTTGTCATCTCGGAAAACTTTAAAATTTATGTCATCCTCCAACTGTTTTTTTTTTAAGAATCTGAAAGTCTTGCTATGCCTCTTTTGAAGTGAAGTTCCAAAACTATGTTTGAACACATTCGGAACTTAGTTTTACGGATTTTACAAAATCATATTTATTAAATTATTCAACATGTAATTAGTCACTAATATAATACCAAAACAATAAATTAATCACTAATATAAAGTGTCAAGAACCAGTTGGTCCCAATAACTCGAGTTGTTGGGAGAAGGTTTTGCTGGATCTTATACCACACTCTAACAGTGTTACCCTGATTTGTAATATGGCTCTTTTGGGTTCAGGCGATGAGGTCCAGAAGCTGGCGTAGTCAGAAAATTAGTATTGTGGGGTTCAAGTATTAATCAAGTAAGACTCATATCTTAATGGTTAAGGTGTTTAACTTGGAGCATGGTGTCCAAAGTTCAATTCTCCTTTTCCTCCCTTGAAAATTTGCATTTTTTGGATGCACTATTTAATTCATTTCATGGTGAGAGACAACGGTGAGTTACTCCATCATTTAGGAACAGAGGAATGTTTGTTTAATTCTTGTACAAGAAGGTGATAAAGCATACAATTTCAATTGTATATTTGGTAAAAGAGCTCCACTTCCTTTTCCCACGTTCAAGCTTTGGCGTGCACAGCCCCAAGTAACCGGAGAACGCAATTTATAAATGTCCAAGTTAATTCTCTTCAACAAACGGAATATATATTTGATAAGTATGAAATGAAAATATTTAATACATTTTTTAGTATGAATAGAACCAGCATTACTTATTAAAAACCGGAGGAGATACCCTGCATATTTATTTGGTAAAAGTTGTCACAACTCACAACGGCAAAAATTGTTGTAGTTTTTGTATATTTCATTCTCTGATTTGTATAATATGTATTTATAGTTTGTACACTTTTCTGTTTTGCTTTGTAAATTTTGAGATGATACTTTATCATTTTTGTTCAGTTTATTTTTTTACGAAACGATCACTTGCATTAGACTTATGTATTTATTTATTTTTTGTCGGATCTACATCTATTAGCCATTTTTATTTAATATATAAAAGGCTAACATGTGAGTTACTATTTATTAGTGGCTCCCGAACTCCTCCAAGTGCAAGTGAGGAAGTTTCAAGTCATTCTTTTATCCCACTCTCTCATTCTATAACCTATGTGTTCATCTATTGTCCGTCGGGTCTACATCTATTAGCCATTTCCCCTGTTGTAGTAATTATCGATTAGGTTTTCGTCTATGATCTTTTGCCCAAATCATCGCATTGACCCACTAATTCACAACCCATCTCGAAAACACTATCGGCAAAATCAATGAACAATAGATGTCACGGCCGCTATCGAATATCACGACCGCTGCCAAATATACATAACATATCTATTATGCACAATCCTCGCCTTCGCCACTAAATTCACAACCATTCTCCAAACATTGTTGGCGGAATCTTAAGTTGTACCCATCCACCGTGTGTCCGTGTCTCAAGACCGCTACCAAAAATCCATACTAAATCCGCTATGTGTTGCCGAGTTTTGTATCGGGATCGAATTTCATATTCTTTAGTGTTTTCTTATTTCTATGTCTCCTTTTGGTTAATCATGACAACTGAACTCAAACTCATGGGTATCCAACCTAATTCGACCAAGTCAAAGCGACTCAAACCTGACATTAGTATTTTTAAATTTCTAATTTTTTTCCTTTCGTTGAGAATGACAATTGAACCCAAACTCATGGTATTAATGAGTTTTGTATCAAGAGCGAGTTTTATCCGCTTTTGTAGTAGGCAGGTTGGGCCCAGTGTGAATTTGCTAAGAACCCGATTAGACCAGTTCAAAGTGAGCTAAACGAGTTTTGAATCGAGAGTGAGTTTTGTCCGCTTTAATGATTTTTTATTTCTCCTTTTCTCATGGGTATCCAACCTAATTAGACCGAGTCAAAGTGACTCAAACCTGACATTAGTATTTTTAAATTTCTATTTTTTATCCTTTCGTTTGGAATTACAATTGAACTCAAACTCATGGTATTAATGAGTTTTGTATCGAGACCGAGTTTAATGCATTTTTGTAGTTGGCAGGTTGTGGCGAGTGTGAATTTGCTAAGAACTCGATTCGACCAGTTCAAAGCGAGCTAAACAAGTTTTGTATCGAGAGTGAGTTTTGTCCGCTTTAATGGTTCTTATTTATCCTTTTCCTTTTGGTTGAGAATGACAATTGAACCCAGACCAGGTGCTAACGAGTTTGGTATCGAGAGTGTGTTTTATATTCTTTTAGAATTGGCATGTTGAGCCGAGTGTGAATTGTTAAAAACTCGGTTCGAACCAGCCAAGGTGAGTTGAGCTCGGTGTGTAAAGTTTTTGGTATGGCAACCTCCCTTATTAAAGTTCATCGCTGCAGCAACTACATGAAGTTGTAGATGACAAACCCTTTACTTTTGGGTCAAAATTCGAACTATCAATTTTAAAATATCACATACTTGCTCAGACGCGAAACGATAGCGAGCGAACTTATTCTAGTCACTATAAAAATGGTTGCATTAATTTCCCTAGACATGGCTTCAATTCTGAAAAATTGAAGTACCACAACCTCCACCTATTTTCCTACGAGATCTCAGTGAATATGGTAGAACTCATTTGGAAACCCATCTGTTTCACGGGCCTTTGTCCTCACTCATCGCTTTGAGCTCATTTTGAATTTCTTCTCTAACTAGTTGTCTGTTCACACATACCAGTCTTCAGGACCAAATTTATTCTATAATAACTAATAAGTTAATAACCCTATGGAAAACTCCACAGGTTAACCATCCACTTCAGTATTAACTTCCCCAATCAGTTATTTTCAAGGTTGTCAAACCGGTTTATGCCAGTGTGCCGGTTTAGCAAGTGGAATGGTTCAACCGGTGGCACATACCGGTTTGTGTCGGTTCATGCCGGTCAATATTACAAATAAAATTATAAATACTCATATTTAAACATGACATTTAACGTCAATACCTAAGCATTTATACTTGAATCCAACAAATAACATCAATATTTAACTTTTATACTCATAAAATAAATAATAAAATAAATTCTCTAAAATAAAGTCATTTTACTTAGAGATTCGTACATCGATCATGTCGGTCATACTGGTGGGGTCACGCCGGTTTTATGACCGGTACCGGTTGAACCCGGTACAACCGGTGGCACGCTAGCCGGCGTGACAACCATGGTTATTTTTGCTCATTTACATTTTTTATGTCACCTTTTTTACTTCATTTTTATTTCTTAAGTTTTACTCGAGTTAACCGTAAATGAACGAAATAATAATAATTATTAAATTCGAAACCACAACCTACAAGTCCTAAATGATAATTTAATTAATTAGATAAACTCTATTTGACTACACTAATCATAATTGTCATGAACCAGTTGATCCCAATAACTCGAGTTGTTGGGAGAGGTTCAATCGTGGATCATATACCGTTTGCTAACACCCCCCCTTCAAACTCAAGCCATTCAGATAGGCTTGGAGTTTGGACAGGCACAGGTCCGGACACCGTGTGCTTAACAGAAACAAATGGGGGTCACCGGGAATCGAACAGAAGACCTCACGGTCACAGAAGGCTCTGATACCATGTCATGAACCAGTTGATCCCAATAACTCGAGTTGTTGGGAGAGGTTCAATCGTGGATCATATACCGTTTGCTAACAATAATGCCTATAAAATAATTAATGATTTTAATCAGAAAATTCACTAGGAGGAGACCGTTGGCCAGAAACATAGCCAGTTAAATGAATCTATAGGAGTTGAACGGACCCGCACTAGGAGAGGAGCGCGTGGACGTCATACCATGGAGCTAGACCTGGTAATCAGGTCGGGTTGTGTAATTTCGGGTTAGGAACTTTGGTTACGGGTCGGGTCATAATTAGTTGGCTTATTTGGGTCAAATTTGACACAACCCATTCGTTTCGGGTCGGGTTACAGGTCATTTCGGGTTATGAGCGTTCTCAGAAACAATATCAAACATGCTTCATATTTTCTTAAAGAACACAAATTTTCACATATGCATGACAATAATTTACGTAACACATGTCAATTAACATATTCTCAAATCCTCCCACGCTAATGAAATGAAATATAAATTGCGTAAATCGTCAAAAAACAATCACAAGGGTAATACTACTACAAGAAACACATGATATTTGATTATCCTTAAACTCCAAACATGTCATTCAAATATTTGTGATTTTTTTTTTAAACATCTCACCAATTTATTAGTGATTTTATCATATTTTGGGAGTAATATATTAAATGGAACGGGTCTAACAGGTCGACCCGCTATCCCACCCAACCAAACCCAAAAAATCACGGATTATCTGGTTCGGATTACAAAAATTTATAGTTTTCGGGCGGTTTCGGGTCCGGTTGTAATTTGCCAGGTCTACATGGAGCACTATTTTTTTTTAATGGTGCATAAGCACCACTACCTCTTAATCGTTAATATAGATCGAATAACAAATCCACTGACCGAGTTGTACAGTAACTAATGAGCAACAGTAGAGTTTGATTGGCACAAAGTGTGAGTTCCAAGGGCTAAATCATGCCCCTATGTGGGCAAGTCTATCGGCTAAGAAGTTGGTCTTCATATAGACATGAACTAACTCGTAATCCCAATCCCTTTGATGTAGCTCACGGAAAGCAAGCACCAGGTTTGCATGTTGCTGATCGCGCGGTGGGAGTCGATCATGTGTTGAGAAGGTGATGTGGTTGTGTGTGTGAGTCGAGTTGGAGTTCGACTTTCCTATATCGAGTGTCCCTAGCTACGGGCCGGCTCAACCCTTCAGTACATTATATTACTAGTGATCGTGCACCTTCCCAGGTTCATTGAGTAAGCCCCTAACAATCGACTATGACCGTCACTAACCGCCGCTTCCTATAGCGGTAGACCGGGGAGCACCATAAACACAACTAAGAGGTTTAAAGTCCTTTATGCATCAAATGACGTTGTTGGAGATGAAAAGTTCACCCACGTAAAAGAACAGGGTTCGAAATAGGCAAAAAAAAAAAAAAAAGAACTGGGTTCGATAGTTAGACAGGAAATAAATGTGTTGGTCGCCTGGGTATATTGGATTTACGCGGTTGATATGAATCTATGATTATATGACAGAGACAGAAAGACTGAAGCATTAGATGCCAACTTCATCTCCTCCACAGAATAAAAGATGTCATCTTTCTTGCCCTATAAATGGCGTTTCGTCGCCATACCAAACAAACAACAAAACAAACATATAGGAAAACCACAGAGAAATGGACAGAAACTCCCATGAATACCACGCCCATATATCGACCATCTTAAAGGCGCCCAGCCTTATCCATGGCGCTCCTCAGTACCCAAACGTCCACAAGGCCTTCAACCACGACCACAGAGCTTACTACGAAGATCTGCAGCAGGCCAAGCCCAAGAAGCGGGTCCAGTTGATGGATCCAGCTGCTGGTCGTGTGACGTACGAGGCGGAAGTTGTTGATGATGATGAGAGTAGTGTTGATTCTGAAGCTGATGGGTTCATCCAGCAGAAGCACAAGAACTTCGAGCTCTGCAAATGGAAGACTTTCAGGCTGTAGTACTGATATATATGTATATATAGCAACGTCTGATCTCACGGTCTAGCATACTTAAAAAGCTGAAGCTGCTACCTGCTGAAAGAGTGATTGACGACGTTATTATATAATTTTCATAACTTACTGTTGACGTCGTTTTTGTTGTTGAGAAGACATCATGATGGTATGGTAGCTGTTTCTCCTACTGTTGTTCGTGACGAGCTTTATACAGAGTGCTGCATTTTATTTAGCTCTAGTACAACCAAAAACAGATCTGCTTCTAATCTCCTGCATCTGAGAGCTAGTGGATACAGAAAAACAACATAAACCAATTTACAGTCATGTTGTACAACTCAGCTTGAATACAGTTAGTTATGATAGACAATCGTACATTAAAATTCTTCACATATGAAACAACCACCCACTAAGGTGTTTTTTTCAACCAGAATAGACAACTTGTGTAAGATAAAACCCAATTACGTGACACTGTGACAGTTTACTTGGCTAAGGTTGCGGTTTCACCCTTCTTTGCCGAGCCAAACAGCTTACCAGTTCGATAATGCTCGCGGACATGATAAGGAAATTTGTTAAGCAGATCCTGTGCCTCAGAATGTCTGCCCTCCTTGAAGAAAGATTCAAGAACATACTTATAAGCTTCCAATGATGGATACTGTTTACTACTCAATGACTGAAGGAGATCTGCAGCAGCTTGCACTGTCCCATACTTGGATATGTATTGAACAAAAGGCTCGGCATATGGAGGGTAGTTGTGCTGTCTCATCAAACGAAGGAGATTCATGGACTCTTCAAGTTTGCTTGCTCCTAAGAGGCTTTCTATAAGAAGTTTATATGTAGCTAGCCAAGGTGTCACATGAGCATTATTGATCATCTCGACAAGGAATGTGTATCCACCATCTATCCTCTTTTGATCAACAAAGCCCTTCACCAAAACCTCCACCAATTCAGCATCAGCACAACCATCTTTTCTCATCATTGTACCAAAGCACATTAGTGCCTCTTCAAGCTGCCCAGCATTACAGTGGCCTTGAATTAAAATGGTCCAGGTCTTGATATCCGGCGGACATCCATTTGCTTCCATATCATCCAAGACTTTAGAAGCTTCTTCAAATCTTCCTGCTTTGCAAAGACCAAAAACCAAGTTGCTGTAGGTGATATTATCTGGCTCATATCCTGCAGATCTCATAGCATTCGCAATCTGGTCTGCTTTTGCGAAGCTTCCTGCATTCACAAGCGACCTATATAGCCCATTATAAATAGCTTTCGAGAGAACATTCCCACTCGCCGCATACTTCCTCGCAACTCTGAAAACTAAACTCAGATCCAGCTTACGGCTTGCAGACATGTTTCTAAGTAGTAAACTACAGTCTTGCGTAGAGGGTTTAAACGGACTATCCATCATGAACTCATAAAGGGTTACTGACTCCTCATACATTTCGTACTTACGGAAACGCCCCGAGATCTTCATATAGCTATCAATATCAATATAATAACCAGCACTCTTCATCTCCTCAACAATGATCCAGAATTCCCCCATTGTATCTTCCTTGCCAAGAACCCTTGCCATTGCATTGTAAGTGACGGTGTTGTGCTTATAACCCTCGCACGTAGCAACCCAATGGAAAAAGCTCAAAGCTTTGGAAGGATGATTCTTGAGCTCCCTCAACACTCTTATCACGAAATTATCGGACAACACAATCTTCATATCCTCCAACCTTTTCTTAACCTCATCACCCCACTCTGCTTCTACAATAGCGCCAGCCACCTTCTTCGCCACACCATCCGTCGCATTTTCTCGAATCATCCTGTCATAAAATTGTTTCAACGCCACAGCATCATTCTGCATTTGATCCTTCTTAAACACCCCCAAAAGCGCACTATACGTCTCCTCATCCAAACAAAATCCATGCTCCTCCATTTTCCTTAGAGTGATCCAAAACTTCTTCATGGAATCCTTCTTAGCAAATATTCTAAGCAGCAAGTTATAAAGCGAGGAGCTTGGTACAAACCCATCTCTCGTTGTGACCCAATTGTAAAAACCCCATGCCTTGTCTGGCGCTTGGTTCAGTTTCTTCACGATATAAACAACCGTCTCATGGGTAATCGGGAAGTGGGCATTCTCCAACTGGTTCGTCAACTCCGTAGACCAATGATTTCCTAACAGTAGCTCTACCACAGAGTTCGCCGAGGAGAGAAGCAGCGCCTTTGATGGGCGTGGAAAAAGTGAGACTCGGACTGAGAAATTTGAGAGAAACTGGTTACCTGAGAGAGCAGGGGCACCCGCGGAGCAGGGTGAAGTCTAGTAGAGCAGGCAATTCTGGAGAGCTTGATGGCCGAAAGAATTAGCCTCGCTCGATTCATTTCTATTGACTGTATTCGAAGTAATCCCTGTCAGGGTTTAAGTGTTGGCCTCGCTTGAAAATGGAATAGCTGTAAATCTCCGAGCAAGGAAGGCATTTCTTCAGGGCTAGGGTTTAAGGGGCGGTTGGGTGAACAAAATTACCGTAGATCCACCCACCCGTCCAATCCGATCCAACATATTTGTATGTAACGCTAAAATTAAGGTTTAAGATTATCGTATACAATCATATATGTGAGGAAAAATGGATAGTGTCATATCAAATGTATTTGATATAAGGTATGGTTCATGTTGTTTGTTTGTATAAATTTTAGAAGAATAACATATTATTGATGTGTTAGTTTATAATGAATAACGTCTTTAGTTTATTTTGATAAATATTTATGAAAGATACTAGGCATATGTTGAATGAAATTGCACTTCTTTAAGAGCCAAACAACCACTTCTATGCATTTTATATTTTTCACTTTGTTTATTTGCTAAAATTTAATTAATTGTATAATTTTGTTAGTGTTGGGTTGGATTTGTACTTAAAATTTTAGCCCACCCAATCCAACCAAATCATAAACAACCGTAGATTTATAAATTTTTTGGTATCTATGAATTAGTATTTTCAAATCAAAGTGTATAGTATGGATGATTAAAACGACTAAATTTGAACCACCCGATTCATATACATTCCTACCAGCGAGTTCCTTTAAAGTTTAAACCCTAGAAAGAAAGTGAACCCTTGACATAGATGAGAATGTGGGACTAGGGATGTGGCTTACTCGATTTTGGTTTCCGCTAAACCGATTAAAACATGGTTAAAACCAGGAATGACAATGTGCTATGTTAAATTGGTGGTATGTTGGTTGATACATCTGGTAGCAGACACAAATTGGTTGGAATACCTTGTCATGAAGTGTTAGTCAATACTTAATACCAATCAATTCCTGAAAACCCCGATGGTCCAATAAGTATGACCAATTCTCGGCTCTAAATAAAATGGTGTTGTTTTTGGTGAATTTCATGAACAAATAATTGTGTATTTAAAAAATGAAGATTTGTCATATTGTTTGTAATGTTGTATTTTATTTAAATATGGATGTTGTGTTATTTGTTAGATTCATGTATAAATGTTCGAATGTTGACGTTAAAATTTGTATTTTATTCATAAGAAAATCGTATTTAAATATGATAATCTATCTTTTTGTTTGTAATACTGTATTTAATTTATACACGAATGCAGTTTGTAGGAAGATTGTCTTGATGAGATTGTATTATATATGCGTACTTCATTTGGTGTTACTAGTTTATCACTTTTCGTACATATTTTGTTAAAATCGGCATAAGCTGACAATACAGATTGTAACCCGATCGTGTTGTAGCATTTGTTAAACCTGCTTAAAGGTATAAAACAGTTTCAAAACTTTGGCACTGTGCAAGTAGGGGGTGGGCATTAGATCGAGTTCAAATCGGATATTTTTACTTAAGATGTAGGTGATAAAATATCTACTAATGAGTATATATTTAAAGAAAAAAAATTATTATAAATTTGCTAGATAATTGTTTTTTTAACGAAAGATAATTGTATTGATTGAAAAAAGATCACAAATTAGTGAAATTACACGTTGGACCCAACCCAGGCACGAAAATCATACAAACGACACGAAGCCGAATACAAAGAAAGGGCCTTCCTAGCCACTGAATGGGCTACCCTATTGCTAATCCGACCCACGAATCGACACAGAAACCACTATTCAAAGCCATCAGACTCATAATCTCTTGGATAATAGCCCCAACACGACTATCTTGCGCATCCTTGGCATTAATCTTATCAATGAGCACCTTCGCATCACCCTCAAACCGAACGTGAGGGATGCCAGGATTCTGACACCACTGAATAGCTTCATGGAGGATAATAGTCTCCACCACAAGAGGGTTAACAATGTTTTCAAGAACCATTCCTCTTGCTAAGAGCACAGATCCTCCTCCATCCTTTATGATCAGCCCCTCGTTGAATGTGAGTCAGCACGTACCGCACCATCCCACATACAGACGATAGATGTCAAATCTACCACCTCTAGATTGTGTTCAAAGGAAACCGATCCCGGACCAACCTATCTGCTGGTAAGGACACCCATTCATGGAGTTGCTAATGGTATTGGTGCATCAATTGAGTAATCAAGGACTGCTTGCCCTCAAAGCAGCCCAATTTGTAGATTTCCAAATACGGCATAGGAGCGCCAAGAGAGCCATAATCTGAGTCGGCTGGGTCATCCTAAGCAAGCACATTTTGAGGAAAAGAAGGAAATGTTTGTCGCGGCAAACCGTGCCCCAAATGCTCCAATCCTGAATGAGTCTAGAGAGATGTAGTGATTGGACACTCCCAAAAGAGATGCTCCATCGTTTCAGATTCTGCCTAACACACCCGCATCGAGGCAAAATCTGGACTCTTTTCCCAATCAAAGATTCAGTAGTAAGCAGGATACAGTGGAATATTTGCCATAGGAATAGTTTTAGCTTAGACGGGATCTTGAGTTTCCACAGTCTCATTGAACTTGCCCTATCCATCCAACTCACCATAGGGCGCCACACTCCAACCTGTCTTTCCACCAAAACCGCCAAGTGGTAAGCATATTTGACAGTGAACACTCCATCACATGTATCATGTCATACCAATCTATCCTCTATACCCATACGGGGCAAAGGAATCGCCATGATGACACGTACTACATCGGGTGGAAACATCTGCTGAAGAGATTGTCGACACCATCCTCCCTCCCTATGATCTATAAGCTCAGCTATCTTTGGGTTATTGCCCTCCGGAATGACATGAGGATTACACAGAAGAGGGTGCAGATGAGTAGACGGGATACAACTAGAATGTTAGATAGAGGCCTGAAGCCCATTCCTAGTCTGCCACCGAAGTCCTCATTGGAGGAGGAGGAGGCCATGGAGAATACTCTGCCACCCCCACTATGGGCGAGACCGCACAGTCGTTGTTAGGAATGTACCATTTGAAAAGTACTCCAGTCTTAGCCAAGAGGTTTGTTGAGAATACACCATCCAATCTTAGCCAAGAGGGTTTAATTAAAATGCTCAAACTGCCGAAATCCCATCCCCCATCATGTTTACTCGTGCACAAATTCCTCCAGTAAGTCCACCTAATTCGAGGGCGACCCCCTTCCACCCCCACCAAAATCTAGCTACATTCTTATTCATAATGCGACATAGTGAAAGAGGGAGTTTAAAGAAGGACATAACATGGAGCGGCAAAGAGAACACAATCGATTTAATCAACGTCTCCTTAGCCGTTCCATGTAGCCGTTCCAACAACTTCTCCAAATAACGTAAAGTAGCCATCTTGGACGGAGCAATCAAGGTGGGTAAGTCCAAATATTTATCATGAACTCCTACCGCTCCAACGCCAAGCCAGAGAGAAAGGGTTTCTTGATCCACCAGCAGAATATTCTTACTAAAGCACACTGCAGATTTAGCCAAGTTGACCCTTTGCCCACTAAGCTCATCATATTCATTCAAGACCTCCAGCAGGTTATCACATTCTTGCATCGATCCTCTGAGAAATAGATATGAATCATCGGCAAAGAACATATGAGAAACATGCGGGCCTCTAGGACTAACTCGAACGCCTACTAGCTTCCGCTCCTCAATGATCTTGCATATGAGCGCCACAAAACCCTCTGTGCAGATGACAAAGAGGAGGGGAGACAAAGGATCGCCCTGCTGAAGTCCCCGAGTCGAGTTAAAATAACCAGCTGATGTACCATTCATAAGAATAGAAAACGAGGAGGAACGCAAGCATTCCTCAATCCATTGCACTCAAGTCGGATTAAACCCCATTTTTCCTAAAACTGCAAGTAAGAACGACCATTCGACTCTATCATAGGTCTTCTCCATATCAACCTTAAGATCCATATACCACTTCTTACCCTTAGTCTTAATCTTAAGGTAATGCATCAATTCGTGATCAATGGGAACATTATCCACTATCTGTCTTTCACGAATAAACGTGTTCTGTCGCGGCAAAATTATCAGGGGGAGGAACCACGCCAATTGTTTAGACATAATCTTGGCAATGATTTTGTACACGAATTGACATAAACTGATAGGTCTCAACTGGCGCATATTCTCCAAATTATCCACTTTGGGAATAAGCGTTATCCAAGTGTAGTTAAAGCTTTGTAACATCCGTCCTGTCCGAAAAAAGAGAGCATATAGCTTCCACAATTGACTCACCAACGATATCCCAGAATGCGCGAAAGAATTTCCCAGTGAACCCATCCGATCCCGGAGCCTGGATGCATCCAATCGAGAAGACTGTTTGCCGGTTTTCTGACACCAGAACCTCAGCGGTCTGAGCCGCATTCATCTCCTTAGTTACCATCCGAGCAATAGGTAGATCAGCCACACGGGCCTCCATATTCTCGACATGGTTCACAGAGGTAAAGAGGAGCTGGAAGAAATCAACATAAATATATGCCTTCCTCTGCTCATCGATGATCCATTCATCATTCCCACTCCTCAACGCAGCCACACGTCACTAAGCAAAGATGTTGAACTTGTGGGAGAAGTAAGAGACAAATTCAGGGAATCAAGGGAGAAGAATAAGCACAAACTGTCGATAATGAGTATGGATCTTTCTCAATATAATCCTCGAACTTGAAGTTCCTATCAAAGAAAAAAAAAAGATCCAGTTATAGGCTAAATGATGTCTCTTATTATACCTCCTACTTGTAAGCTTTTAAGTAGTTTGATTTATGCTTGATGTATGCTTTACTTTAACTAGTTTGGTTTATGATTGATGTATGCTTTAGTTTGAGTGTAATGTTTTAACTAGTTTGATTTATGATTAATGTATGATTTATTTCTAGTGTAACTCTTTAATTATTAATGCAACTACTTTCTTTATTAAAACACTACAACAAGAGAAAAATGCATCATATAACACGGGTGCATGAGAAATACGTTAATAAAAATCAAAAAGTACATATAGTAGAATTAGGACATATTACATATTCAACTAATATAAGTGCAAAAGCTAAGCTTGGGACTCATCTCTTCTCTACTAAGGCAAAATACATATGTATAGCCATAATTATTGACTTTGTGATAGTAATAACCAAATTTTCAGAAATACACAAAATATCTAATTTTGTCCAAAACTTTAATGGAGTCATTTTAGATGATGACTGGACTAACGGTTTTGTTGACTTGGCGATGCTCAATTAAAAAATATTGACAGGTGGAATTAACTAAATTCACTTGCATAGCCATAACTATCGACTTTGTGATAATAATAGCCAATTTCTGAGAAATACACAAAATGTCCAGATTTTGAAACATGTTGGACAAATTTAGCCATTTTTCGTTAAAAACTTTAACGTGATTATGTGAGTTGCATTAACAAGATGCTGCCATGGATCTCATCTTGATGCACAGGTCAGCAAAAAATTGGCATTGTCAAGTAAGCAGAACAGTCAGCATCTAAAATGATTTCGTTAAAATTTTGGACGAAATTGGACATTTTGTTTATTTATGAGAAATTGTCTGTTATTGTCACAAACTCGATAGTTATACCTATACATGTGTATTATGTCATTAAAGTATGATGTGACATCCTCGTCAGCATGTTGATGTAACTTACGAAATCTCTAACAACGATAAAGTTTTTAACTAAAGTGACTAAATTTGTCAAACCTATTTCTAAATTCTGGACATTTTCTGTATTTCTCGAAATTAATTATTATTGTTACAAAATTGATAATTATGAATTTTTCAATAAATAATTGACAAATTATCTAAATATATACTTTTGAAGGAATTAGAATGTCAAATTTAACCCAATATTTGACTCGAAAATTATTTAAAGAACAAATATGTATAACGAATAAGAGAAAAAGACAATTTTACGTGTCAACCATCCACGAAGTAGCTTCTTTATCATTCATAGCGAAGCTCTTTTGTTTTTTTGGTGGAACAGAGCAAAGCTTTCAATGTCAGCGTGCATTTTGCAAAGCGGAAAGCCAGAAAAGCATACTCCATTGGCGACCCAGAACCTTTCCCACTTCCCACCATAGTCAGTTAGCCACCGCGGCACCGCCGGCCGGCAACTCTTACTTTCGCATTAACACTCACCGGGGGGAAATTGAGCTGATTCGTCGCTCCATGGATTTCAACTTCTGGAACTCCAGAGTCCATTCCGCAAAGCACTTCTCCCCTGTACAAGCCGCCAAACAATACTACTCCGGTACTGTACTTTACCCCTTTCTTGACTACTTGGGCGCTTCTTTTCCATGCTAAAGTTGTCATCTTTCCGGTTGTTTCTCGATTTGTTGGGAGATACTTCCAGTTCTAATTTGTTTAACCTCTGAATCTTAGCATTAGCTGTGTGATTAGGAACAATCTAAGAAGCTTTTCATGTTCCTTTTCCCAGTATCTGCTTGTTTAGGTATCTGATGTCCAGAAGGTTTCCTTCTTGCTTGCGGATTTCGAGCTAAATGATATTGATCTTTGTCGAAATTGAGGAGATGGGTTTGCGAAATTTGTTGTCTTTTTTTTTTTTTTGGTTGTCCTCCTGGTAAACTCGGAAAGTTATGGCTTTTAAGGCAAAAAATTAATGCTCCTGGATTACACTCTGGGAATCAGAAGGAGAGGCACTACGTGGACAGTCCCAGGCAAAATCCAGCGTCAGAGTTGAGCCGTTGCACAATTTAGGTTAGTTCATAAATCTCCATCCTTAATTTTTTCCAAGTGGTGGTGTTCGATTAGCAGAACACGATAAACGTTCACTGGTTTACTTGCCTAGTATGCCAACAAATGCCAGATTTCTACCGGGGGTTTTATAAGCCGTCGTCAGATATTTTAGAGATGGAATTAGGGCTAGAGAAAGCAGCAGCTGCCGCAGCATCTAGCCTGGAGAGCAGATTTCGAGGCTGTGATGTTAGGAGCGATTCTTTTTTGAGGGTGGGGGGTTTCTAAGCCAGGGGAGAAGCAATTTGCTATTGCTTGAAGAATGTCAAGTTATAGTGTTGTGGTTGATCAGAGCGGTGAGTATCATGGATTGGATTCTGAAAGTGAAGATGAAGACGTGTTAATTGAGAAGATGATGGAGGCACTCAATAGATGGGACATGGGACTGCCTCATGAGGTCGATTCCGACAATTTGGCAATGCAATCAGCCACAAACCAGCAGGGGGATGGCGTTGATGCCTCGGATGTGGGTAGTGAGGGTGATTATGATGGGATGATACCCCAATATGATAGTTTCCCTGATGAAGGTGCTTTTTCAGAAGTGCTGTTTTCCCCCTAACTATGCTTGACCAGAATGATTTAATCTGTTTTCAAAAATTAGATGTGAATTTTGTTTCAAGGTGTGGTTGCTTCAGCTATATTCTTGTACCAGAAATGGTCCACCGAAATGGAAGCTTGCTTCCTCTTTATTGATTTACTGGAACTGTTTCTGGATCTGATTGGAAAGGGTCCGATTAAAGGTAGTTTGTGTGGATTGTATGATGGAATGGTAAATGCTTTGATTGCGAGGTCCGCTAATATATGAGCGATTTCATGACTCCTTGCTGCTAAATGTGTGTAGAGTTTTTTTTTTCTGATTCTGTTTCTGCTATTCGGCTCATAGAATTATGGTTGCTCATCTTTAGTTTACATGTCAAGTTGTCTGTGCTCATCTCTTTGAGTCTTTGTGCCTTTGAGGGCAATTGTGAGGTTGTTCTTGTTACTTGTAATTCATATGCCCTGCAACCTTTTGCTCTCTAGGTTGAATCATGTCCTAACCTTTGGCTGCCTTCTTTTTCCTCTAATATCAACAGATAATCATCTGGGACTGGATGAATCCGAAGGGGAAGAGGATGCCAAAGCTTTCTTTCCGTGCCCTTTTTGCTATGTGGATATTGACATTCATGTCCTGTGCACCCATCTCCAGGATGAGCACTGCTTCAATCTGCGAAATGCTGTACGTGCTTCTTTTTCTATTGTATTATTATATACTTCAGTACTTTGTTTATTGTAGCTCTCAGTGTACGTGCGTGCGTGCATGCATTTGTATGGTGTAATTTAGTCGTAACGTCTGTAATTCTGATACGTGGCATTGGACATTTTAATTCTTTCGCTTCAGGTATTTAAGTTAGCACCATCGTTATTTATTACATGTTCTTTTTATGGATTGATTCTTCCATGTTAGGGATGACCCCTGTCCGTGAGCACGTCAATCTTTCAGATTGTGCATATGAGCGTGATCCTTTCTGTTTGGTCATCTGAACAAAGTGGATTTGCAAATGCTAGTACAGCTAGGTTTTGCTATAATAAGATTGTGATTTGAATATAAAAAAGGGGGGATTTGGCCAAATTGGTAGACGCTACGGACTTAGTTGGATCAACTGATTGAAAGGACCAAGTATTTAACATATGTAGCAGTCACTGCTCATAGCTTGTGCGATGAATAAACAAGTGGTGGACATGATTGAATGCTCTATAACTTAACTTTTCTGTACTCTAGGTGGGAAGGATATAGTTATGCAATTAGGGATGCTCGTTAACCTTTTCCTCCCTTAGTTTGCTTCCTTCTAGAGGGTTGAAAATAAATACAGTGGTTCATCAGCTAGTATATTATCTTCTACTTGAAAACTTCATTGATGTCAGAATGAAGTAAATATTCATTCGCTCTGCATTTTGTTCTTTTAATGATGTGCTTGAAGTGATTATTCAAATGGTCATCTCCAGAAACTAGATGATACAGCTATTATACTTCTCATATGACATTTCTAGTGTTTTGCCTTGGCTTTGTGGATTACTTGTCTCATCTATCTAGTTTCCTTATGACTACACTTCTCATTGGAGGAAGAAATGAAGTCTGTGATTGATTTCTGCTCCCTTTTTCTAAATCTGTGTATGTAGTAGTTTACTAATTTACATTACGACCTTGTATATGTTTATGGAAAGCATAGAAGCGGCTTTAGCTCTGAATTACTACACAAAGGGTGACAAGAACGAGGGTTGTTATCATGAGCACACACTTAAAACATGGTAAATCGTTCGTTTTGCTTCCTTCTCTTATGAAACTGAGTGGCGTGTGTCATTTTCCAGGTGTGCCCCCTCTGTGCAGCAAACCTTGGGAACGATGTCATTGGACATTTCATAGTGCAACATGCCAGCTCATTGAAGGTAGTATTATATCTATGTATTTCAGGATTTGCTTGCAGACTCTAACATTAAACCAACAAATAGTGGTGCCTTGCGTCTTTTATTTTAAGTCATATTATCATTTGTGAACTGTAAAACTGGAGTTTAACTCAATGGAGCATTTGGTCCTATCTTCATGTTGTTCTGTGCAGAAAAGAAGAAAATCTCACAGGCCTGGCCCATGGAGTGGTGGTAACAACTCAGCTGTGTCTGGCAGAGCACTGAGCTCATTTGGTGGCTCGTCAACAACTAGCAGCATTGGAAACATATCCGAGTTGGCCCCTGATCTCTCGCCCTTCTTGGGCAGTGTTCCAGAGTTGGACTCAAGGAGCTGGCAGCAGCAACAGCAGGATTCATCTGAGAAACCTAGCTCTGGAACTCATTTGAAAAGGTACGAGTTTGACAGTGTGTCATTTTAGGATATCAAGTTTGCTGGCATGACAACTGAATACTCACCCAAAATGAAACGTTTGTGGGCAGCAGTGGAGGCGAGGTGTCCGCCGATGATAGGTTGGATCGTGAAGAGAGAGCTCAGAAGGCTGCGTTCATTCAGGAATTGATTGCATCGACAATCTTCTTCTAAGCTGGCGGGTTCGTTGCTCCTGCAGCAATGATATTATGATGATGATGCCAGCAACTGGTTTTCCCCCTACTCCTGAGTCTCCCTGCTGAGGATTAGGTATTTAGGAAGCTAGAAAGGTGTGAGCCGGGTGATAGTCGAGGTCGAGTAATGGGGATGATGGCCAGAAACATCTAAAAGATCGGCAGTTATATATCGACATGTAGCTGTATCGTTGTTTGTTATAGCATATATGGCTGAGACTGATTACCATTCCAGAAACAGAAACAATCTTCTTCAAACTTAAATGCGAAGAAAGCAATTTAGCATGATATGATACTATTGATATCTCTCCTTTTTTGCGCTATCAGATCCATGATTTTACTGATTATGTTTTGAGACTTTGAGCCACTTGCTATAGCCTTGCAATCTGGTCGCTTCAATAACTAAAAGGGAAAGGCTTTCCTATTAAAATTAAAAATATGATAGGAAATCCTTCTGTTCAATAATTTATCAACCAAATACGGTAGTACTAAGTCGATATGATTTTTATTTGTTGATGTAAGGAATACATATTCGATTCAGTCAATCAAGAAATAATTGTCTTTTTGTCTAAACTTATCATAAAATTGTATTGCAAGTACCCAACATTTAACATACCAACTAATAATAGTTCAATATCCTAATTTTGACTCATGTCCTCAAACCTCAATGGAGGTTGCGATTTTGTTGAGATTGTTACTATACATGTATTGTTTAGAATGCATCGTTTTTTTATCAGAAACAATGCATGGATTGTTTCTGTGATGTGACAGAAACTATCACTCAAAATGAGTGATTGTTATATCTCAACTTTTCGTTGTAATTGTTGAGATAGTTGAGTTGAGATTGTTTTGTCTCAGCTTTTAGATGATGTGACATAAACAATCAGACATACCAAACGTTGTATTCTACAATGCATCAAATTAAACAATACATGTATAATATTATACATGTATTCACAACAATACATTCATTTAACAATCACAACTTCCAAACAACCCTCTTAGGGGTCCTTTGGAAGTTGCGATTGTTAAATAGATGTTTTGTTGAGAATGCATGTATAATATTATACATGTATTGTCGAATTTGATGCATTGTAGAATACAACGTTTGGTATATGTGATTGTGTATGTAGCATCAGCTAAAAACAGAGATATAACAATCACTCAAAATGAGTTATAGTTTCTGTCACATCATAGAAACAATCCATGTATTGTTTCTGCTAAAAAAGCAAAAAAAAAACGATGCATTGTAAACAATACATGCATAATGACAATCTCAACAAAACAATCGGCAACTTCCAAACAACCCCTTAGTGTAATATCTTGTGTCTAAGATTTTTTAACCAAGATATTCAGTTGGTTCTATTATGCAATATGCACCAATCTATCATTTTAAATATTTTGTCTAGTCCTTGTATTAGAAAGACCGAATAATACACTAAGAAGAATGATCAATGACCCTGACTCTTCGAAATTCGAAATAAATCCATAGCAAAGCCCGCCACTGTCTAGGATTGAGCATATACAAGTGATTAGTGTTACTCTAATGTGTTGAAATGAAAGTCCTTGCAATGGTATGAAGGTCCTCCATTGTTGAACATTGTTCACCATTCTAAAGCCCAAATGAGTCGCAAGTCTCAACAGACCAGTCAAAGTCTCAGAGATCAGAACATCAAATGGTAAGCCTAACAAGAATCAGCTACATGAAGGCTGACGACATATTTTTGTGTCTGACCTGATCATCATCTATAGGATAACCCAAACTAAATGGTTGAGCCGTCAAACACAATCTCGAACCATGAACCCGGAACAATAAGGTAAAGATCCATCGGGGATGGAGCGAAAAAACGCGAGATAAGTATCACAAGGACATCTGCAGACAACATGATCCAAGGCTAGAGCACCATCACAATGAAATGGTCTGCTTAATCTCCTCCTAGACAAGAAATAAATCATTCTGACTTAACATCCAACACTGTGGACTTCTAAATTGCTTATCAGGCAATCTAAAATTGGTTATGCTAAGCAACTGAAAGGGTCACAAAGGTCTGCAGGTGTTAAACCAAAACGACAGTCAAACAAATATCCAGAGAAAGAGGCATAATCCGACATTGACAAGTCACATTTGAATCATTGCAAGAATTTCCATCTAAACTAAGCATCATGGGAAAGGTGCAAAAGAAGAACAAAGCTGCAAAAAAAAGTATATGGCATGGCATTCAGTGTTCTCAAAAGTTGTTCCCGAAAATGATCAAACTGACTTGCATACAGTAGAGGACATAGAGGAAGGAGATCGAATTCCTCAGAGAAGAATCGAATCGAATCCATTTCGGTCCTCTTCCAAAACTAATCTTACTCAAGGATTTTCTGGATAACACCAGCTCCAACGGTCTTCCCTCCTTCTCTGATAGCAAACCTCATCCCTTGTTCACAAGCAACGGGCATAATGAGCTCCACCACCAACTTCACTCGATCGCCGGGCATAACCATCTTCGACTCCTCATCCTTATCGTTCATAATCGACGAAACCTTCCCGGTGACATCAGTGGTTCTCATGTAAAACTGCGGCCTGTAACCTGCAAAAAACGGGGAATGCCTCCCTCCTTCTTCCTTTTTCAAGACATAGACAATGGCCTCAAATTTAGTGTGGGGAGTAATGGAGCCTGGTTTAGCCAACACCATCCCTCTCTGAATATCAGCCTTCTGCACACCTCTAAGCAACAACCCTACATTATCCCCAGCCAGGGCCTCATCCAAAATCTTCTGGAACATCTCAACTCCAGTAACAGTGAAATTCCTAGTATCTTTCAAACCCACAAGGTCAACAGTCTCGCCAACCTTGACCGTTCCTCTTTCAACCCTGCCAGTGGCCACAGTGCCACGACCTGTGATGGAGAACACATCTTCCACAGCAAGCAAGAATGGCAATTCAGTCTGCCGCTGTGGGATTGGAATGTACTCGTCCACAGAATCCATCAGCTGATAGATTTTATCAACCCATTCGTTGTCCCCTCGTTTAATGGCTGGATTGGCCATCAAAGCTTCCAATGCCAAAAGGGCAGAACCAGAGATAATTGGGATATCATCACCAGGAAATTCATAAGAAGACAACAGCTCACGAACCTCCAATTCGACCAATTGCAGCAGCTCCTCGTCATCCACCTGGTCCTGCTTGTTCAAGAACACCACCATGTTGGGAACGCCGACCTGCTTGGCGAGCAAGATGTGCTCCTTGGTCTGGGGCATGGGCCCGTCTGCGCCGGAGCAGACGAGGATAGCCCCGTCCATCTGCGCAGCGCCGGTGATCATGTTCTTGACGTAATCCGCGTGGCCGGGGCAGTCGACGTGGGCGTAGTGGCGGTTCTCGGTCTCGTACTCGACGGTGGCGGTGTTGATGGTGATGCCGCGGGCTCTCTCCTCGGGGGCGGCGTCGATCTCGTCGTACTTCTTGGGCGCGCTGTTGCCCATGGAGGCGAGGGCCATGGTTAGGGCGGCGGTGAGGGTTGTCTTGCCGTGGTCGACATGGCCGATTGTGCCGATGTTGAGGTGGGGCTTCTTCCGCTCGAACTTTCCCCTAGCTGCTCGGACTGTGAAGGAGGCTCCGCCGCGGTGGCGGGGGAGGGAGGTGGTGGTGGTGGTGGTGGGGAGGAAAGGGGAGATGAAGGAGGAAGAGAGGAGGGTCAATTTGGTAGGTTTCGAGGCGAAGTTGAAAGTAGCGGCCGGAGAGGAGGGGGAAGCGGCGGCTGGTGAGTAGACGGCAGCTAGCCTCGAGGAAGAGGAAGCTGTGGCGGAGGCGGAGATTGCCATGGCGGAGGCGGAGCAGAGAAGAAAGGAAATACAGAGAGTTTTGGGAGGGGATTGGGTTTGTTATCTGATTGGGGATTGGGGCGTTTGTATCCACTCCACTCCTTTTAGACTTGAGTTTACTAGACGCCCTCTCGTCCCTTCTCGAGTTACTTAGCTGAACGCCGTTTTTTTAGTTGGGGAACGAGAAGATAAATTGGGATGCGGTATGAGTGTGCAACGGTTTGGACCGGTTCATGAAAGTTGCGATTTAATTGTGAAAAATATTTTTGAATTAAGAATTGGGCTAATAGTGTATTTTATCGTATTTGATCTGGTTCAAATATCAGTTCGATCTTTTTTCAATATTTATAATATTTATGGGACTACGAGATTACATTATATCAATTCGGTATGGTCAAAATGTAGTTTGGTCTAGTGCGGTTCAATATGGACCAAACTGTTGCACACTCCTAGATGCAAGGTGTCGCCCTATATACCATAACAACCAGGTAATATGATGCATCTGTCCCCCCCCCCCCCCCCCCTCCCACCCCCACACACACAAAAAAAATCACTCGTATTACCATGAAAACAGCAAACAGCCAGACACATGAAACTCACATGACAAAAACAATCAAGACGTAAAATCGAACCCAACAAAGGAAGGGAACAAAAAAAAAAAGATTTTTTTGCCACCAAATGAGCAACCCTTTTACAACGACGACCCACAAATTGAACTTCAAATTGTTCAAACTCATTAACCAACTCCAGAATATCCTCCGATATCGCACCACCCCGTGCGTCAAAGGCTTGGCCTACTTTGACCTTGTCTAAGACCAACTTGGCATCTTCCACAAAAGGTCATTGACATGAGATTTCTCGCTTGACAACATCGCATCGTGAAGCGCAAGCAACTCCACTAATAAAGTATAAGATATACCACAATTCAAAGTCGTGGCCACCACCAACAATGAACGTGGCTTATCCTGCGAAATTCAAACCTCAACCTCATGGGATCACCTGGACATAGCCTCGTCCACCAAAAGAATGAGATCCCTCGAAGAGCCTTGCTTGATCAGTAAGTCCCAAATGTGCCTCACAACACAAGCTTAATTCGCGGTATAAAGATCACGAAGTCCTATACCCCTTATTTTGTAGGTTAACAGATTTTACTCTAAGCTACCACTGCTATCTATTTCATTTAGCTCCTACTCCCTACAAGAAGTCACTACAAAGCTTCTCTATCTCCTTGATCACATTCTTTGGCATGATAAAAATTCCCATCCATAATTAAGCCAAGATGTATAGGACTAACATGACTAGCTGCAGTTTACCTGCACAGCTAAAAACTTTGATCCTCAACTCTATATTCTTCATATAATTCTATCAATTAATAACCGACATGCTTTAGCTGAGAGTTTACCAGGAATAAGTGGGATCCCTAAGTATGTCACTGGCAAAGTGCCCAGTTTGTAGCCAACCCTCTTAGTCATATTTACTTTTCATTCATGAGGCAACCCTCCACAGTAAAACTTACACTTTGAGGGGTTAGAGACAATAGCATATATAACCCTAAACTGTTCTAGGACTCTCTCAATTCATTGGATTTCATAATTAGTGTCATTCGAGAAGAGCAAAAGGTAATAAGCAAATGCGTTAATCTCACCCTTTTACACATTGGTTGAAAATGTAACATGTTCTCGTCCACTGACACTCCCATTAAGCAACTAAATACTTCCATTGTCATTTGCCACTGCAAACAAGTAGAGGGACACAGGATCCCCTGTCTGAGGCCCTTTTGTGCATATAAGTACCTAGCCACGCCTCCATTAAACTCACACTAAGCTTGAGAGTAGTGATGCACATAAAAATCCATCTTAGAACACCAGGAAACCCCATATCCTCTATATTGAAAGCAAGATCTTCCAGTCAACAGAATCGAAAGCCTTCATTAAGCTGACCTTTACAATACTACAAGGGGAGATGTGTTTGCAGGTATACTTTTGCACTATTTCATGAGCAAGAAGAATGTGTTCACCTATTACCCTTCATTTGACAAAGGTAGTTTGGTTCTCACTTATCAAATAGGGAATACATTCACTAAGCCTAATAGAGATGATTTTAGCAATACACTTATAAAGTATATTATAGCATAAAATAGGTCTAAAGTACTCCATCTCTTCAGGGTTCTTAGTTTTAGGAACTAAAGCTAAAATACTTGAGTTTACCTCATGAGGAAAACTGGATTTGTTGAAGCAATATTTGATTGTTGCAGAGATCTCTTCTCCTACTATGCTCCAGGCAGCATGGAATGTTACACCCCGTTCTTTTCTTAATCCAAAATGACTGTTATTTCCTTTCTAAATTTATCAAATTCCATTGCAATATCGATGAGGACTCAAAATGCACTTTCGATTCAAACAGTGTCGAGTTTTGACGTAAAATGAGGAATTTATGAACGTTTAATTTTTGTGTGAAAAATTCATAGTAATTAGAACCATTTCTAAAGTTAAATTTGCAATTTCGGACACAAAATCAACCTAGCTCAGTTGGTTAAACTGTCAAGTTGGGAACCATGGGTCACAAGTTCAAATTACTTTCCCAACATCGAGTTCATTTTGTTTGCCACCTTCAACCTTGGGACAAACACATATAGGGTTTTTGGGGCCTTCGATTCAGGGGGTTAGGATACAATTTTGGGTTTGATTTAACCATTGGAAAGAAGGTGAAATGTTCTTGAGGGCTAGACCAAATCGAATCCATGAATCAACCATTAAGGCTTTGAACGAAGCTTGCATAGTTGGAATCTCAAATATGTTTTTCGGAAACTGAATTTTCGGGTTTATAGGTAGGTTTGTTCATGTCAGTGTCATGCCAATTGAGGGAGAGTTGGGGCTTGATTTTTTTATCAAAGGGAAGAGGAAGAATCCTATTATAGTTCTCAACTATGTTTCAGATCAAACTCACCCGAAAAATCCAATTTCTAAAGGCAAAACTAGGCTGTCGCGATTACCTTTTCTGTAGAGCCTGAAAACCCAATTCTTCGATGTCGGCCACTTCGAGCCAATCACGGATCAGGTAAGCCTTGTTTAGTGTCCATGGGAGCTTCCCACAAGGTTTCGACCTTAGAATCGTGCTAAACCTCAATTTTGGGGTTTTTAGTTCGCGACGTCGTCATCAGAATCCGACTACAAATCGGTCGGTTCAAATCACCAACCTTGTCGAGAAAGGTAATTGAACCTTCCCCCTAGCTATTCAGATGGCTTTCCCTAAGTTCTGGTCCCTAATTCGAGCTTTTCCCTTTCCGATCGAAGCTCGTCGGGGTCGATGAACTTGATTTCAAATTCGGCGTTTCGAGACAAATCAAAGCAAAAGATGGTAACCTTTTCCCTAAAGTTTGAGTTCGATTTGCGTCCATATTTTGTGCAAATCACGCCTCACTGGAAAGTTGGGTTTGGTGGCTGGTGGTGACCCTCCGGCGAGGTCATAATTTCAATTTTGATCCCTATAGTTTTTCCCGCCGATTACTTGGGCCTTAATGATTTAAATTTTGACAAATTTGCCCAAAAATCTTATTTCTTTTGGATGTGTATATTTTTCAAAGTTAAAATTAAAGACTTAGATCTTGTACAATGAGTATTTTCAGGATTTGATAATTTTATAAATTATAGGAAATTCATATGATGAACTAGAATTAAAATTGAGAATTTTGGAGATGATTTTCTAGTTTAAATATTCATTTTTGTAACACCCCGAATTTCGGGTTATGGTTCGACCATAATACATGACCGATTGGGTTGTTAGTTGCGTACAAAAAATTGCAATCGCGGTTTAGTAATAATAATAACAATAATTATTATTATAATTATTATTTTATTATTTAAAAAAAAAGAGAAAGGTGCATGGTGGGGGCGGTCACTTAACCCCGCCGCCCTTCCCAAATTTCCCCAGGCCATGTTCTAAACAAAAAAATAAAAAATAAAATTAATAATAAATAAACCCCAAAACCCGCTAGCTTTCCCCACCACCGACCCTGTCCATTATTTCCCCCAACTTTTTTTTTCCAGAGAGCTTAAACCGCCGCCTCTCTTAGACTTCCCAAACCCTCACTCTCTCTCTTTCCCAAGCCCCGCGCCGATCAAAAGAAAACCCCACCAACCGCCCTCTTTTCCGATCGCTAGCAGTCCCGCGAGAAAGGAAACCCCACCAGACGCCGCCAATCAGTCGATCCCATCCCTCTCGTGTTCTAGGTAAAGATCACAAACCCCTTCGCGATTTCTAAACGCGATTTATCGTTAGACTAATTCGAAGCTCGGATTTTTATTAGCGGTGGCGTTGAAGGTGTGATCAGCGAGGAGATCAACGTTCCGGGTCGTCAAATCTAGGTCTAGGCACGTGCTGGAGGTAAGGGAACTCGATCCATTTGAGTTAGATCGATCGATTTGGTGTTTTTCTTGAGGGTGCAATTTTGTGGTTTTAGCAACAGGCGATCATGCCTTTAGTGACAGGGTTTGGGTGGTCACTAAAGCTGCTGGGAATTTTTAGAAAATTGGTTTTGGATGGTTTAAATTTTTCTCGAGTCCCTGCAAGGGTTTGTTCTTGCGTTTAAAATTTTGATAAATTGGGGCAGGGCTAGGAGATGACTGTAAATTAATTTGGGAATTTTTAAGATGTATTTACAATTTTAGAAATTGTTCGAACATTCGTTTTAATTAAATAAAATAATTCCGAGGAGTTTATAAGGGTTTGATAATTTTCCAAGGTATAAGGATTTATGTTTGTTATAGGAAAATTACTATCAAAATTTTTGAGAAGGTTAAAGGTAGGTGGAAAATTCGTCCAAGACTAAAATAATTAGGAAAAGTGGTCGGTTTTGAAGGGATTGGTTTTAGAAAATTTTTAAAGTGGGTTAGGAGACCTTGGGAGCGAGCCTCAAAGACTGGACGTTGAGGAGAGGATGTCCTAGTGACTCAAAAGGGAATTCTAAACCGAGAAAGGTCAACTAAAGTGGTGACTTTCTTATTAATAGGTTCACCGAGATAATTCGGCTAGGGGGGATTTCTTCGAGTAAAGAATCGAGGAGTCAGCTTAATAAGGTGAGTGTAAAGGGGGTAAATTCTACGCCTTACGTGTTCTTTCAAGAGTTACAAGTTTTGAGTATTTTGCTAAAGTGAATGTCGTTGTTTGATTGTGCTTATGATTGATGATATGTGATTTTGTTTGAGCTATGCTTGATGAGAAGGTGCATGAGTTCTTATTTAAATTTAAGCTTAAGTTGATAAGTGATTGTTAAAGTTAAAAAAAAAAGCAAGTCCTTTTTAAGAAGTAACTCGCCTTCAAGAAGGTGAAGTCGTTTTAAGTGTTTTTAGTCACTAGCGCCAGTCCGTTGCTTTTGAGACAGTTTGAGATAGAGCAGCAGTTATGCTCTTGAGATTTTAAGATGGGCAGCAGTTATGGCCTTGAGAATCGTGGTGAAGAGCCACCACGATAAGTTTAAGATGTTAGGGGGATGAATCGTTACGACTTCCCTAACCAAGTTTAAGTTTAAGGAAAGCCTAGGTGGCTTCTCATACGTATGAGTTGGCAACCGGAATAGCTAGTGAGGGATCCCAGTGTCAGTCAAAAAGATTTAAGTCAAGTTTTGAGCTTTAAGAAGGGAACTTTAACTCCCGAAGAATTTTTGAGTTATAAGTGTTACGAGTGGAAGTACAAAACAACTTCCACTAGTAGAAGTTAAGTGTTTAGAGAAGAATACTAAAGTACCATAGATTTTATCGTAAGGGCGTAGACTGACCCCAACTCACTCACCAGATCGTAGAGGAGGAAATCCTAACCAGCCAGTCCGTGAGCAGCAAGCTAGAGGGACTCAACACCATCGTCGCTGAGAGATGTCGAGCCAGGCGTCAGAGTAAGCATCAGAGAACTTCTTCCAGTTATTAAGTCTTTATGGTTGAGAGTTAAGGATTGGAGATTCATTTCCTTTGGACAATTTGAGTTTTGCCAACGTGTTTAGGGCTTCGATTTGAGATATTGAGATATTTAAGTTTGGTATTTTATTTAAACTTGTGTTATTTTAGATTTTTAACTATACCCCGGGGTAGAAATGTCTTTTTTCAAATTCAAAGAGGTGGGATGTTTCAATTTTATTTAAACTAAATATTATACGAGGGATTTTGGTTGGTTTGATAATTTTGTGTGTAACTATGATTACGGTTTGATGCTATTATAAAATTATGAACATAAAATTTAAAGGATGTAACAAGGTAATTGAGTTATGATTTATTTTAATAAGGTAAAGGGTTATTTTATAATTACAATTTTAAATAATTTGTTGAATTACCTAAGATAAGAATTTGAGGTTTTAAGTGGAAAAGAAATTTTGGAAATTTTTTGGAGCAATTTTTGAGAATTTTTTCAAGGGTTATTGAGTTTTTTGAACTATTTAAGCCTTGTAAAATGTTTGGAAATTTTTAGTTTTAGGAAAAGTATTTGAAAAAGGAAAATGGTCATTTTCAAAGAATTTTGGGACTAAGCATTAAGTAGGGGGAAACTTCAAATTAAGTTAAGGGGATTAAGTTAAAGGAATACTGACTAAGAAGGAACTACTTTCAGTTTATAGGTCTAAGAGAGCAGTTGAATTAAGGGTTCTATGTCAGAAGAATTAAGGAACCATCAATAAGAGGTGAGTGGTTCAAGGTGGTAAATTCTACGTGTTACGAGTTGGATTTACTCAAGTATGTCATAGCTATTAAATGCATGCTCTCCATTTGAGTTATTGTTGTGAGGCGTTTACTTATGAGCTTTCAATATTTACTAGGGGTGGGCATTTGGTGGGTCGGGTGGATTTTGACCATAAAATGCACCCACCCGCGCTTAAACGGATTAATAATTTTTAACCCACCACCCACCCACATTTAGTCTCGGGTTGGGTCGGGCGGATGGTGGATGATGCGGGTGGGTTTGTGGGTTCACCCACATCACAATGTATATAATATAAAGGAGTCAACTTGACATGATAATAGGTGAAGAGAATCATCGAGGGAAACAAGAAGTTGAAATAGGGCAAAAAATGTTGAATTAGTTCTTAAATGGGATAGAAATTCTATTATGAAAGAGTTTTTTACAGATTGAGACGATTATTAGGTGCAAGGAACTAAGTAAAATAATTCAACAAAGGAAATAGCGATGATCTAGGCACAAGAATTAGAGGAAAAAGTAAAGGGAAGAAGAGGGGATCTCTATTCGGAAGGTTGGCTTTGAGGTTCAAACTCCAGGAGCAGTCCGAGTTTATATCTAACGTCTCCACTCTCCTCTCTCTAGCGCCAACGACTTTGATCTTTTTGCGGTTGGGTTGAGCGGGTCACCCGCACACTCATCCACAACCCACCCACCACCCGGCGGATGGCTCCCAGCGCAACCCGTCACCCACCCACAGACCCACCACTTAACGAAATTCGGGTCAAATGCGGGTGGGTCGGCCCAAACCCGCGGATGATCCGCCCGCATGCCCAGCCCTAATATTTACTTTAACACAGTTAAGTTTCTGTCTTACTATTAAAGTATTTATGAACTTTAAGAACAAGTATTAGTAGTACGTCACCATTATATAAATTAAGGTGAAAAGGTTAAGAAGTAGTTCAATAACGTCAGTCCCTCGCTCTAGCTAAAGTTTAAAGGAAGCGCACAAAATGCTCTTAAGATTTATGGGGATGAATCAATAAGACTTCCATAAGGATAAGGATGGGCCTAAGTAGGCCCTCATACATATGAGTTGGCCAGGTGCACTAGTTAGTGAGGGGATTTTTGAGTCAGTCAAAAGTTTAAGTTTTGAAGGGTGGTGAGTAACAACAACACCCACATAATGAGTGTTTAAGTTAAAGGGTAGAAGTTACAACAACTTCCACTGTTTTTAAGGAGAACTTTAAGTGAAACCCCTTTAAGTGCTTTAAGGCTTTTAGTAACGGCGTAGACTGACCCTAACCTCTTTAAGTGCTTTAAGTGCTTTTATGCTTTATGTATATATATGAGTAAGGTTGGAGGTTAAGATTTTATGGTTTAAGATTTGTCCAAGTGTTAGCGCTTAGTTATATATTATGACGATTTATTTTCAGTATTTATGATTTGATAGCAGTGCTATTTCAGTTGATTTAAGCAAGTTATTTCTTTTCTTTCACAAATTTTAAGTATGCTCTGGAGCAAAACCGTTATTTGAAGGTTTTTTATACTAGGGTATTTCATGTAAAAAATAGGCAGTGTACTCACAGGGATTTTTTCCCTTAAAGCCAAATATAGTTGTCTTGATTTCCTCTAAGGTAACTGGTCAACAAAGATTGAGGACTTGTAAACTCTAGAGCTTCTTCTTCAGCAAACCCATGAACTAGTCAACTGACTTCCCCTGAACCAAGGACCTTTTCGCCCTAACAAATCATAAAAGGAGACTATAATATTACTCATAGTGTTAGTGTCAATAACTCTTTTCCCTTCATCATTTAGTAGTGATCTGATTGTGTTTTTCTTCTGATGAACTAGAAATGATATATGAAAATAGGAAGAGTTTGAATCTCCTTGTTTGAGCCATATCTCTCTTGACTTCTGCCTCAAGAACGATTCTTCTGCTAATTTCAATTGCTTTAGTTCTATACTTTTCTCTTTCTGAGTATCAAAAGTATCATGAGAAGGGTTAGTGAGAGTTGTTGCATGTGCATACTGAAGCTCTAGTTCTTCCAACTTGACTCTCTCCCTTATATCTGAAAATTCCTATTTATTCAAAGTTTTCAGCAACTTCTTTAAAATCTGCTAGTATAGTCACTAATGCACCTTAACCCTGATAAGATCTTTATAGAATTGCTTCCTTCCTGCTTCCTCGTTAGAAGCATATACAAATGAGACAAAGAGAGGAATTCCTGAACTCTTATATCGAAATGAACCGGCACAAACCAATTGTACCACCAGTTGTACCATTTCACTTGCTAAACCGACCCAACGACATAAATTGGTTTGAGAAACCTTGTGATTGACTCAATTAGAAGTACTAGGAAGCTCTAATAAAAGACACTTTAACAACATGTGGGGTTTCTGCAAGGTTTAGGGAGTTTTCCTTGAGTTAAATGAAAGAAGAGGAAGATGCATGAGAGTGTTGAAATAAAATATTCTAAGGATGAGTGTTTCTATCACAAATTTACTAAACATTTACAACTTTGCTTATGAAACACCAACAGATTATATCGAACTTATTCAAAATTGAACAAATTTATTGATATTTTCGAGGCAAAACTTTGAATTACAAGCTAGCAAAATTTAGCATTGGCATATGCCAAAATAATATTATTTGACTATTGATTCTAACACAACAAACACAAACATATGTGTGACTCTATGACTTATTCATATGATAATAATAGTGTTATATAATTTTTTTATTTAATGTATTTAGAATCCAATTAAATGACTTATCTTATACGTATTGTACAATGTTTATGAAATATTAGCGAAGATTAAAAATTATATTATCTTTTCATATTTCCACATAAGTTCGATACGAATGAATTTATCGGTATTTGAATTGCCGGACTGTTACTTAAATGATGATACATGTTGCATCATCCAAAGGCCAGGGCCTCTATACAAGTGAGAAAATTCATATAAAATCAATTCGAGTTGAGATTCACCTCCAAGGCGAAAAAAGGGTAAAGTATATTTCCATTTCACTCGTAGACAGACCAACTTCTACAATTAAATTCCTCATCACATGTTATTGCTCCTAGGAATCCTTGATTTAGGTAGTTCTAAGGTACAAGTGCTCAATACATCCCTACGAATTCCAGGAGAGAGTTCACTTAAGAAGTCTAAGATGGCTACTTCGTGTTTTCTCTTTAGTTCATCCAATTCCTCATGCTGTTTTTGCAACAAATGCTTCAAATTTTCACCCACTACCTTAACATCTAATTCAACTGCAGTTGCAATCCCAGTAGAATCTGAATCTTTACGTTCATGATGGTCATGTTCATGAATCGAGTGAGAATCTTCATGATCTGCTAAACGAGATGGTCCAGCAGACCTTTTTGGAGAGCTTAGTCCGAATCCCTTAGGAGAATCCGACCAATATTTCCTCCCCGAAGGCAATATTTCCAGCGCAAGGGCACTTGATGAGCAAGTTGATTCGTTAGAAAAGGGAGAGCCTTCATCCTTATTTTCATCATCATCTTTGGTCTCATTATCAAATATCTCTGCATCTATAGTGTTTCCACCCTCATGATCATTTGGCTCAGACGATGCCCAGTTCGGAATGTGAGATCGAATTTCGGTATCGATCATTTCAGCGATCATCGATACATCCTGATCGGTTAAGTCCAGCTCCTCAACCATTTCACTTGCAACGGCAAGAGCCGTATCCACTTCAATATCAAAAGGGAAATGGATATTGCGAAAATGACCTGAGAAAGAATTAGGGGTATTAATTTTTTCAAATATATTTGTTAATAAATTGTACAAAATTAAAAAAAAAATGTCAAAATAAAAAAAAACTATCTCTTGTGGGAAGGGGTGAGAGAGTGAACCTGTAGAGTCTGCAATTCGTAACTTCAGGAATATTGTATTTACATCTTTCCTCTGGCCTTGTACAATGAAGTCTCTAGTGTGATCACTTGAACAATCTCCTCCAATTCTTAAAAAATTGGTTTGATCAATGCTTCCACTCCCAGATTCTTGTAAATGGAAAACAACAATATCACATTTATTTTTATTAAAACATGAAGGACTAATTTCATCAACAAGTTCATAAAAAAAAACAAGTTCATCTATCAGCCCACTACCAAAAGCTTGACAGCATATGAAAATAACATTAAGGTTGAATATGCCACTTTAGTCACATTGATTTGCAAAGGAATGCATGAATGTATTTATTTCTTATACTATTTCAGTAGTATTTCTTCAAGTTTCTCAAGACATTGACTTTCTGAGAAACCATGATGTTGGGTTTCTTTTATTTTATTTTCTATTTCTACCATAAATTTTAAAATTTCAACATTCATCTAAGTGGCGAATGAAAATAAATTATTGCTTTAAGTCCTCCATGTTACCATCGACTACATGAATGATGTAATTGTAATTCTATTCCGCAACATGAATCATATTCTCACAACTCGTTAACAAACTAAAAGAATAATTTCAGATGATGATTTCTCCTCTAACGAGAAAGTTTTTACTACCATTTCAGTTCATTCACGACTGTACCATATTTGAAGGCTTAAGTAGTCAAACGCATCGAAAGAAATATCAGAGAGAAAGATACAAAAATGAAAAGAGAAATAAAACATTGCATAAACCTTGCACATATCATATTATGAGGTCGGTGAAAGTACCGGATAAATGGGTAGCATTTGATTGTATACCATGAGCTATAGATTCAGTTTCTTCATCTGATCGGAGAAACGGATCAATTAAGAGTTCTCTAGCAGATAATCGATCGGAGACACTTGCTATGCACTTTTGAATAAATGCTTTCACACTCTGATCTTGTACCTTTGCTAATGATGCTGGTTTTATACCCTAAAAAAGTAACCAAAATAGTAGTTTCAATTACAACACTAATGAAAAGAACTAATGTACTTAACTAAATTTTTGTTATGTATATAAAACAAAAATGCACATAAAAGCATACAAATCAACCCTTACCGATGTCACTTTCTTATATATTTGAGCAGCATTCGAACATTCTACATATGGATACTCAAATGTGACCAGCTCCAACAAGCACATGCCAAACGCATAGATGTCGACAAGCTCATTGTATTCCTCCTCGTACAACTCAGGTGCCATGAACTCAGGTGTACCTAAAAACCAAACAAAGTAATGAGCTTTATGATTATCAACAAACAACCATTATCTCACATTCTTAGAACACATAAAAACCGGGAAAATATGTTCCTAACCAATGACGCTATGAGCTGCTCGAGCCTGCTGAAGAATAGCAGCCAAACCCAAGTCCCCAATCTTCACTTCACCTTGGTTTCCATTAACAAAAATGTTGTCACACTTCAAATCTCTGTGGATAACTGGTGGGTCGTGACTGTGCAGATACAGAAGTCCTTCTAAAATTTGTCTGGACCATTTCTTCAAGGCTCTTATGTCAACGTGCTTATGTTTCTTGCGGTACCTAGTTTAGCCAGATCCAAAATTACAACCAAGTTAAAATCAAAACTACAACCTGTCATGAACCAGTTGATCCCAATAACTCGAGTTGTTGGGAGAGGTTCAATCGTGGATCTTATACCACTCTCTAACACAACCCACATCCTTAGATTCTATAAGTTGGGAAAGGATCAGGGAGAGCTTACTGCCGCAAAGTCCCAGAAGTGAAGATCTCTGTGATGAAGTTGATGTTCTCATTTTTGGTATCAACCCATGAATTGTAGAACTTGATGATGTTCTTATGCTTTAATGTCTTGAGCAAGTGAACTTCAGAATACAAACGCTCCAAATCCACGGAGTTGCGCAACAAATCTGCCACCTTCACCTGATTCCAAGCTACCTCTATACCTTCCAATTCATCAAACGCTCTGTATCTGATTTCTCCCCCCCCAAGAGTTTAGTTAAGGCATCAAATATCATGAAGCCATAGCCAACAATAATTTGAATGTAAGTTATTAAATAAAAGCTATGACAACGATTAACTAACAAAAAAAGGATACACTTTTTTGCAAGCACCTTTTCCTAGAATCTCTTTGTACTGCCAACACAGAAAGAAACAAGTGAAATGATTATTGACAATACATAAATACACAATGACATGAGATTGAAAGGGATCTTAACATTTGGGTTGCAAAATCAGGAAGAAATCATAACCAATCAGGATGATAAAAACATTTGAAAGGGTGATTGAGAAAAGGGAGGAATGCATACGAACCCGACCATAACGACCAGTGGGATCGACTTCGACGAAATCAACATCGGAATCTTCAAGTTCTTGCTCAGATGACGATTCTTGTGTCATCCTCTAGGCCTGAGGGCTCTATACACGACGAGCCAAATTACTACAGGCCGATCAAATATCTGAACAACAATTACAGTGGTAATGAGAAATTGATATGAGACGATTTTCGTAAAACAAAATTTCCAAACAACAACGTAGAAATGAGAAATCAAAAAAATGGGGTTGGGATTTAGAAGATGATAGATGGATCAAAGAAGGGAAAAAAGGGGAGAGAAAGCAGGAGAAACGAGGTGAGACAGGAAAAGGTAAAAGCAAAAATGTGATAATGAGAAAGGGCATTATTGGGTATCTTTGTTTCTTGACTGAGCACAAAAAGAAGAAATATTAATTTATTCATCGAAGGGCAACGTGAATGCTCAATCAACAGAATTTTGAAGCTGGATTTGGAGGTCCTTAGAGTTTTGAATTTTGATTAATAGCAATAGGTCTTAAAACTACTTTGTTTTGGTCATCTCAATCCCTAGACTTATTTTTATGGGTGAATTAAGTTTCTAAACTAATACTTGTGGATCTATTAATTACCAAGTCTTTGTACCATAATGATTTAACGACTAAATTGGTCACTCAAACTATAATCTTTGATCATTATTATGAATACATGACAATTAAAAAAATTAAAAAAATTGATTATTTTAATTTTCCACCTCATCACTCTCACACAAACACCACTACCACCATCACTGTCATCTACAAGCTTCATCATCGATGTCAGCAACCGTCGCAGTCCTCACCTATGTAGCCTTCATCCATAGTCTTAATCCCTCTCCCTCGCTCTCAAGTGGCTCTACCATTCCCTCTCAACGAAGGATGCCACTTTCATCATCTGCATAGCCTCCATCCACACACATATTCTACACTTCGGTTTCATGTCCATTGATGACGTCGTCCCGCCTTCCAACCCTTTGAGTTTTGAGTAAGGACTCGCTCACCAAATCAAACTCACTAAATCGAAAATTGCCTTCGCTACTTCTCAATCAACCGCAAAGTTTGCTTCTTTCTTGTTCTCCCCTTCCCTTCGCCAACAATATCATCGACTTCCACAATTCCTCTTAGTATTGATTGAATCCTCAATATTTTATTGTTGATTAATGATGGAGAAAGTGAAGAGAGTGAGATTGAGCCTTCAGAAAATGATTGCACTAACCTCGGGGTACTACTACAGACATCCTCAGTATATGATGGAACGGCCAACCCAACCTTATCAACGTTTGTTCTATTAAACTTTACTTTTCTATAACATTCTATTTGGACTGCAAATTCATTCATATGCAACAGTTGAAACGAGACGATGAACATGTTTGTTGTATTGAAACTATGAAGGGAAAGTATTGAAGTTGCTGAGAGGTTGGATGTCGGGTAATTGGGTTGCTCGATCACGCATTTAGGACTTATTTTCGTATAAAAAACTGGTACAACACAAATTTATTACAATCCTCACTAATTAATACTTCAAAAAACAATATTGAATATAGAAACCGACAACCTTTTTTCTAGCAACCAACCAAATGAATAAAAGATAAGAAGGATTCGACAAATTAAGACTTCAACAAACATGGCAATGTCTTCAATATCTATATATGACTCTACACAAACTAATTCGAGAAGGAGAAAAGAAAAGGGCGTTGGTAAGTTGTAAACTTCCCAACTTCATTACTTTCCTCCAAAGCCAAACCATTTCGAGAGGAAAGACTTGTTCTTTCCGCGGGAGGAATCATTAGGCTGTTGTTGTGCTGGTGCTGGCTTAGGAGCTTGTTTAGCTGCAGAAAGAACGTAAAAACATAAGATTTTGTGCAAATTCATCAACTTTATTTTGACAATTAGGAACCTCTCATCGAAAACCAAGATAGATTTCGAGGCACATACCTGTTCTTGTTGTATCCCCTTTGGTCTTGGTGTTGGATTCATTTTGGCTGGAATTGCTTGAGCTCTTCTCTGTTCTTCCACCTGCATTATTGTTTCAAACTGTCACTACTCAACTACAAGAAGCACAGGAATTTCATCTGTTCACTCTTCTTATTCTAGCTGTTAGCATCATCATCATGATCACGGATAGTATCTTACTCTCGCTGCTCGGGGGCTTCCCATAGCTATGCCGGAAAGCTTCGAAAAGGGCTTGGTCTTTCTGATCTTGTATCACTAGAGAAGGAAAAACAAAATCAAAAAGCACAAGCAAGAAGGTTAAACAGCTGAGAAGTTGCAAATTGCAATTACACCAGAAACCAAATAAAAAGCCTGACGAATACAGGAACGATTCCATGACATGCTATAGTAGCAGGTTTCCTAGGTCGCATTCGCGGTGTGAAATGCAATGATACCATGACTACTTAGCTTTCACAGAGAGCCAAGAACAACATACATTGATCATAGATGTTAGTCCTGTAGTTTGGAGCAGACCCAGCTAGGAGCAATTGGACTGCCTCTGAGTCTCTTGTTGTGGACAACTCCACTGCTGAATTCAGATTCTGGGTGTCTAGCAGAATCCCAGCAAGCTGAGAATTTAAAAAAAGAAAACCCATGAATGAAATGCTAGTCTCTTTGCTGAATTCCACGAAATTATGGTTGATATTAAGCTCTAGGGCTTGGGGAATGAAACTCAACTCACCAGAAGCTTTTTCAGCATGGGGAATTCCAGCAAGTCATATGCATCCTCACAGTAGTTGTCTGTGAGAATGGTGCATTGAGATCCAACCTGAAAGAAGCCAGAAAAATAAGCCAGCAGAATTAGTTTAGTTACTTGTTCTTGTTATCGTCTGGTAATTTGTTAGGTGTAAGAATAGACGTGAACAAGGGTTTGATCTAGTGGTAATTAGTACTAGTATTGAATCTGGAAGTCATATGTCTGAATCCTTTCGGTAGTATCTAACTATAAAACTCAAACTATGTCACCCTTATAAAAAATCGATAGACAAGACAACTAACCTCGCCATTAGTCCGAAGGATATCTTGCCCCACCACAAGAATGTTCAGCTGTCCCGACATCATTAGGTTCTCAAAATCAACCTGAAATCCACAGAGAGTGCAGACTGGATTAGTACGATATGGTCTGCTTTGAGTTAAACTCGTAAGAAATTACAAAGATAATTTGATCAAGGCATAGGAAAGGTACCTCCTCGGCAAATAGCAAAGATTTGGCATCAAGGCCAACATGGTGGAACAGCCAAGCTGCCTGCCTCTGCTTCCACATACGACCTCTCCTAACATTCATCACCGGCACCACCACGAACGGTGTCTCGCCATCGCCGCCTCCATCTTCCTTACTCTTCCTCGCTCTGTTCTCCATCAACCAGGCATGGCAAATCGCTGCCACCATTGAACTTGTACCTACAAATCACACAACACATTACCACACCCCAGCTATTTGATCAACCCGTCATTTGATTTTTAAAGGGATGATTTTTACATACTGTTTGAAGGTCCAGAGAGGATGATCTTGGCCTTCCCTTCAACCTCTTTGTTCATGATCTGCTCAATCTTGGCCCTCTGTTTTTTCAAGAACCCATTCAAGCTCAGCTCCTGCTGCTCCCCACTCAGTTGATCATCTTCGCGCCCGCTCGAATTCGGAGCAATTTTCTCGATCGAACAGGTGGACTTGGAAATAGACCGCCGGTGAGCAGACTCCACGAGATTCTTCGGTGGAGACAGCATCTGACCTGTCGGCTCCGGCACCGGAGCCTGCTTGAACCTTCTCGGAATATCCTGCGGCGAAGAAGCTGGCGGCAGTGGAGGCTGCGAAGGCTTCGGCGCAGATCGGAAGCGAGACTTCCTGATTGTCGATTGCCGTGGAGGCAGAGGCGACCCTGCATCGTTCGCCGGAAAAATCAGCGCGCCGTTGTTGTTGTTGTTTGGTGATTGGTATTCAGGGGAAGATCCGTTTGAAGTTGGCGGCTTCAGATTATTGGAGATCCACTTGTGAACTTGCGATGCAGGGGACGAGTCGACCACTGAGTCGGACCCGATCGACCCGTTCCTGCTGTGCCTAGCTGACCTCGTCAGGATCTCCTCGCTGAAACCTTCAGTTGCTCTGTTTCTGAAAAATAAAAAACAGGGGATTGTAAAAACTCGGAAGAGATTGAGATTGTCAACGTCCTTAACGAATCAAGTGAACAGGGGATTGTAAAAATTAAGTTTCTCTGTTTCTAAGAAGAAGAAAAACAGGGGATTGTAAAAAATTCGGCAGAGATTGAGATTGTCAACGTCCTTAACGAATCAAATGAACAGGGAATTGTAAAAATTCAGTTGCTCTGTTTCCGAGAAGAAGAAAAAACAGGGGATTGTAAAAATTCGCAGAGATCATCAACGTCCTAACGAATCAGTCAATGTAACTTAAAGTGGTCAATAACAATGATACCTTCTGGCGGAGCGGGAAAGAGGGTCTCGCTTGTCGAGAATCGACCCCGTCGAAAGCCTCGGTGAAGCGAACCTCGGCGAGCCGAGCAGCCTGGCACTAGCAGGGGAGTCGCAGCGGGAAGGAGACGAGGCGACCATCCGCCTGGCCTCGTGCAGCCATTCCTGAGTCAGCTTGCTGCTGTCGCTCCGGATGCTGTCGTCGAATCCTCCTTCGTCGTCGTCATTGTCTTTGTTGTCGTCCCATCGGTTCCCGGTGAGGTTGTAGGACTTCTTGGCGTCGTTGTTGACTGTTCCGAAGAACATGTCGTTCATGAAGTCGGTGAGGTCTGCTGCCGGCGCAGGCGCCGGCGCCTTCTTGTGGTGGGCGGTCATGGAAGTTTTGGCTGATCCACGGCTGAACCTCGTCCGATCCATTTTGGGGTTTTCCGGCTTTGGGAGGAAAGATCAAAGATTTGGGAGAAAAAGGGAGGCGAAGAGAAGTGAAAATGGTAGGGGAAATGAAGAGTTTTGTGAATGGAGGAAACCTTGTGGGGTGTGGGCATTGGGATTGTCGCGGATGCTGAGTTGAATGATCGGCCGGCGAATTGGCCGGCAGCTCTGTCTTTTTGTGCGGAGGATCGACTTAGCTTTGGCTTTCGTGTTTTTAAAATATGTGTAATCTTCGGGGATTCCTGTAAACGGTATATTTGGCATTTGGATTCGAATTCGGACAAACCGATGGCAAAGAATTGGTAAAAGCAAAGTTGGGTATATGCTTGGACGGGTTAGGATTGTTGTTTTCCGGTTAGCGGCTGCCGGCTGCCTGCCGGACTGGCCTCGCCGGTTGCTGGTCTTGACAGGGGAAGGCTACGCTGAAATAGTTCTATAGTAATCAGTAGAGAATTAAAAAGGAGGGAATAAGAATTGGGCGTGGCAATTTAAATATTATGGAATTTAAATTTTTGAAATTATGGAAATATTATTATTTAAGTGCAAAGGTTGGGGAATAATTGTGTTAATTTGCCATTTGTAGCTTGTAGTGGTGAAATTGATGAATTTTATCTCGAATAGAATTGAAATGTAGAAATTGGGGGGGGGGGGGGGGTGAAGTTCTAATTGATTTAACTTATCACAAAAAAATGAATATTCTAATTGATTTTACCAACATAAAAAATTTATAATTGATTTACCTTCTCATTTTTATCTAGGGATGGCAAAAATATCCGTAACTGTGGATATCCTCCCGAATCCGACCTAATCATGTAGGGTAAAATCCGAACCCAAAGGACTTTTAGTGGGTACGGGTAAAACCCGAATATTGCGGGTAATGGGTGGGCATGGTTTTCGCACTATCCAACCCGAACCCGCCCGATTATACACATGCATATGTATATTATTTATAAATAATCAATATTTTTCTCTAACATATTTTATATTTAACATATAAATATTTTTTTATGAAATTGTATTGTTTTAATTAATTTTCTTCATTCTAGTGAATTATTGTCATACTTTTTGTCTTAACTAACATAAGAATACGTGTAAATATTAACATATTGGTTGGAGTTATAAAGAAAAATTGTTACCCATGGATAATCGTGGATACCCAAAACCCGAACGTGTATGAGCATGGTTTGGATTTTCTACCCGTTTGTTATGTGGGTATGGATATGGGTAAAACCCAATTTACTTTAGGAAGGGTAACGGATATGGACTATTCATACCCGACCCGACCCATTGTCATCCCTATTTTTATCCATTAAAGTGGTGAAATGTATTAAATTCCTCGGTTCGATAAAATTTAATGTAATTTATTTAATTCTTTCATTTAAATGAATCCATAGAGTCCCGGCTACATATTTGGTACTTATATTCAAATATTTTTAGCAACGCGGTAACAAGGATATTTTCCGAGAATTGCTTATGTTAAATTTAATTTCACAAGAAGAGTATGTGAGACTTAAATGATAGTGTTTATCAATACCCATTTTAGCGACATTTCACCCAAATTTGGACATCATTAGTTGTTTTACTATGGATTTGCCTTCAAATTAAGTTCTCTATGTGTTTGGACTCCTCTAGGAGCACTTTGGTGCTTTTGATACCTTTTATAGTTTTTTTTTTTTTTGAATGATTTTCATGTCTTGACTTCAATTTACCCTACTACTTCAATCTAAATGAGACATACGCATATCCACGTGTACATAATAGAAGTAATTAATCTGAAGAGAAATTTTACAATGCTATATAGTATTGGTCCTATAGGTTTTTACCTTTATGGTACAACTTAAAATTGTGCATTTACGTTATGGTACAACTTCAGATTGTACCTATACTTTTTGTACAAATTCTTTTATGGTACAACTTGAACTTGTACCTTTATATGATGGTACAACTTAAAATTGTATATTTATGTTATGGTACAACTTTAGATTGTACCTATACTTTTTGTACAAATTCTTTTATGGTACAACTTGAACTTGTACATTTATGTGATGGTACAACTTCAAGTTGTAAAGTTGTACCATAACATAATGGTACAAATTGCTTTATGGTACAACCTAAACTTTACATTTAATATTATGGTACAACTTTGAGTTGTACATTAAAGCACCAATGCTATATAGCATAGTAGAAGTGCTCTTAGTCTGAATTGTGAGTGTGATCTCATTATACATAAGGCAATTGTGAAAGCACATATATCACAAGTAGCATGTAGGATTAAAGAACTCAAACAATCTCTCGACTTGTTGATCTCGTGATTATCCTAGGCGCATGGTCTCGTTAAACCTATAACAAGCTTCAATTACTATTTCAGGTACATGTTATCTGTAGAAGCAAGTAAGAAAGATAAATTACAAACATAAGCAATTCAAATGATATAAACAATGGGTGTTTAAATCTATAATGTTGAGGTTATAAAAACTCTTAACTGCATCAAATACATGTTATCTTTAGATAAATATCAATCTAAAGTATAGACACAACTAGGATCCACTCACTAAACAACAATGGGTGTTTAACGCAACATAGAAAGAAAACGTCACCATGATTAACAAAGTCGACGATGGAATCCTATCTCCCAAACCCTAGGGTGTCATTACAACATAACCTAGGCCCTCTATTTATACATTTTACTTAAAACCCCAAGAAACAAATTAAAATATGATAAATGCAGTTAAATTATTTTTAAAAAAGTAGGTTCTCGCATATTTAGAACTTTATTGGAGATTAATATGTTGTAATAAAAGTAAAATTATAAGTAATTTGAATAGAATTACATGTAATTCAGGCAAAGACGGGTCGAGAATGGGGCGGGTCAGGGCAGGTCGAGTCGAGGGAGAGTACTCATGCCCGCCCCACCTCACCTAACGGGCGGGTCGTACCAGCTCCAAAACAGGTCAAACAAGTCGGGTAAAACGAGTCAGGACAAAACACGCGTAAGGTCTATTACTCACATATTTTATAAATAGGTAACCTTTCCATTCTTAAACCTCAAAAATTGTGTTAAATATACATGAGTTTAGCAAGGAATGAAAAAAAGAAGAACAATAATTTTCAACTGTCGTCAAGGTCTATACAGAAACGAGTGGGCCGGGGAGAGAAACCAACATGGTTGTGGTGTCAACTCTACGCAAAAGACATAACTTGTTGCTACGAAGCAAAATGGTGGTATAAAGAAAACTTGCCCACTTTGCAACTTTGATACAATTAATAGTTTATAATTTGCATTTCGATATTTTATGGACATTCATTGCATAGTAACCAATAATAGTAGTCCAAAATTATTCTTTATTCTCCACATCTTTAGAAGCAGATGATTAGTATTTGATGCAGTTAAGAGTTTTTATGACTATTCAATAATATAAACAAACAACGTTTTGACAATCCAAATAATGTGAGTAGTTATCAATTAACAATCCACCTATTACGATTCGAATGATTTGAATTATTTGCGGGTTGATCTGCATGGATTAACAACCCACAATAGCCACCCCCACCGCCAGTTTCCAAAAGATGGACGACATTCTTTTGAGAACAATAAATACCCCAAATCAGATCCAAGTGAGGACTTCTTGGAGAATGGAGACAACAAGACTTCATTTGTACCACTTGGGACACTTCTTAAGCGAGTTTTGCTACATAGATAGCGCTTGTAACTTGGTAGAATTACGCAGCGGCTTTACTATGCTTTAACGTAAAATTTTAAGTTGTATTATAATGTTAAAGGTAGGGTTAATTGTATGATTGATTACTGAAATTACAAAAAATATTCAAGTTCGGTCACTCGAAATATTTAAATCCATTGGAGGTACTTCTGTTTACTGAAACCGTTCACGTTTGGTCACTCTCCGTCCAACTCCGTTAACTTTGACTGATGTGGACGTGGCAACTAAAAATTTATTAAAAATAAAAAAATAAACTTTATATTTTCCACCTCATTATTACATGCATTAAAAAATAATAAAAAATCTAATTTATTTTCTACAAACCCTCGTACCCTACCCGACCCAACATCCATCGCCGCCACAGAATTCGACCACCGTAGCAACACTCATCACCACCACCCGACTCCGACTCCTGCCCGATCCCCGTCCCCGACGCCAGCTTCAATCCCTCCTCCCACTCCTCCGCCGCCGCCGTCCAACTCCCGCACCTATTCAGCCCTGAACCAAAAGAACACGATTATCATCATCGGCCGGTCGGCGACATGCAGAAAAGGACGAAACCACATCAGTAGTAGCTAAAGTTTACTTACCGGCAAGCTTGGGGAGAGCTCTCAAGCTGCCATGGCCATTTTTCTGGATGTAATCCACCAGCTTCTTGTCCTCTTCTGGAGTCCACTGACCCTTCTTCAGCCCATCCTCATCGCAGCAAGGAGACCTTCCCATTCCCTCTCTGTGTTAGTTTGTGGACATGGGTTATGCTTCCTTTGCTCCAACCAGCTGCAGAAACCGATGGCCGTAACCAATCCAACACCAGAACACAACCCCACCAGCTTCTCAATTGAAATGGGCAGTAACCAAAAAAATGAAATTACCCACAAGTAAATCTAGCTAGAAAACAGGGGAAAGCCAGAATAGCCAATATCAATCACTCTTCTCCTTTAGATTTGAACGACAGTACCCCATCTTTAGAGTTTGAAGTTCCGCGAAATAATGATGTTGTTCTTATTGGCTTATTATTCCTCTAACCCCTTTTCTTTCCATTTACACCTCCCTTCTCGCTTGTTGAATTTGTTGGAATGTGCGAGAGTTGGATGGCGACGGCGGAAGAGTGGGAGGAGGGATGGAAGCAGGCGCCGGCGATGGGGATGGGGCAGGAGTCGGAGTCGGGTGGTGGTGGGGAGTGTTGCTACGGTGGTCGGATTCCGTGGCAGCGGTGGAGGTTGGATCGGGTAGGGTATGGGGTTTGTAGAAAAGAAATTAGATGTTTTGCTATTTTTATTTTTAATGAATGTAATAATGAGGTGGAAAATATAAAAAATTATTTTTTTATTTTTAATAATTTTTTAGTTGCCACGTCACTATATTAACGGTCAACTTTGAGAATTGACTGCCACATCAGTCAAAGTTAACGGAGTTGGACGGAGAGTGACCAAACGTGAACAGTTTCGGTAAACTGAAGTACCACCGATATATTTAAATATTTCGAGTGACCAAACTTGAACGTTTTTTGTATTCTCAGTGCCAATCATGCAATTAACCCGTTAAAGATACAAGTTAAAGTTGTACCATAAGGGAATTTGACATTTATGTGGTGGACTTGTGGTACAACTTCAATTCTGCAAATTGTACCATAACTTAAATGTACAACTTTAATTTGTACCATAATATTAAAAATACAACTTCAATTTCTATGCTTTAAATTAGGGTAAATACAATATATTAGCCACAACTATTATGAAGCGGGGAATTATAGCTACAACTATGAAAATTCAAATATTAGCCATAACTATTGTTGCGGGTCAAGATATGGCTAATTGTCTGTTACTGTTATTGAATTTTTGACGGAGAAGGTCATGTGATCGGCCACGACAGCGGCCACGACGGAATGCTTTTAATTTATAACTTTAAAACATAAAAGTTAAAGTCAGTATTACTAACAAAATTATTAACAAATAGTTAACGTTTGGCTAATAATTTGAATTTTAATAGTTGTGGCTATAATTCCCCGCTTCATAATAGTTGTGGCTATTGTATTTACCCTTTAAATTATTGTAAAATTCCTCCAAAATTAAAATTAAGTCATCAACAACAAACACATGGCTCTGCTGCTGTTCTTGCCTCCCTTCCAGCCCAGGTGGGTTAGGAAGGCTTGAAGAGGCAGCCCAAAGAGCTTCTCACTAGGGGAAGAAGCTAGAATAGGCCCAAGCCCACTTTATTAACTCTCATTATATCACAAAATTCACCACCGTCACCACTCACCAACAGCAATAACGAAGGAAGAACGCATACGAGCAGAATCTTGATGTAGAACTTAATTAAGTAGAATTTGAGAAAGAAGCACCCCAAGAACAATGACAGAGAGGATGAAGAGGGCTGTGAGAGTTGTGAAAGTTTGGGTTGTCGATCGATATTGGCCATTCACTGGAGTTCCTCCAATGGTTTTGAGAAGCCAAATTTGGTACCATGGCTAATGAGTAACACTTCCCTGATTATTGTTTTACATAATCGTCGTGGTTAACAAAATGATACCTAAAATTTGCTTTCATATCTCTTCATTTCCCAACACCATGTCTCGTCTGTCTGTTTACATACGTACATCCACTTTTTCGGATAACTCATACATCTCTCTTAACTAATCTCGTGACTCTCAGACAATAAGAGTCCAACATGTTCAATTTACTTCTTTTTATCTTAAATTCTTTCAATGAGGTCATGTAATGTCATATTTCGCTGAAACTAACCTCATATATATAAACGTTTTAGCGTATAATAATAAAACAAAACAACCAAGGTAAAGAATAATTACTAATGAAATTGACATATGCAATTTTTCTGCAAAAGTTAGGTGACCAGCCAACTAAAACACTTGTACCATCATCTCTAGATTGACTCCATCAAGGAGGGCAGAGATAACCCTAAAGAAAAGTCAGCCAATTGTTCATCCAAACACTAAAGCAAGGATGGTTCTTAACAATGAAAACAACGAAAGCAAAATTTCGATTCGGATCTCTTGATCATAACGGTAAAGGTGTAGGTTCTAAATTTTATGTTACTACAACCTCCTCAACATGTTCTTTCTGTATCTTATTCTCTTTACTCTGCACATTTACAGGCAAACCTACAAGCTCAAGTTTTAAATACAAAAAGAAAATTATTTAAACCTCTAAAGTAAGCAGGTGATGACCGATGACTCAATTTGCTTTCAGATCGCTTCATTCCCAATGTATATTGTCTCGCATGTTTATACATATCCATCCGCTTTTTTTGGATAACTCGTACATCTTTCTCAAACTTATCTCGACTCCTAGAAGATAAGAATTCAACATATCCAATTCGTCTGCTGATCTGATGTCATACTCTATCGTGGTCATGATTCGATTCCTATCAATCAATTACCCGTAATGCAAATACGCTATGTCTCGTATATGAAAGTTTACTGCAAAGGGTAGGAGCCAGCCAACTTAACACTTATACCATCATCACAAGAAGAGAGAATCTTTAGTCAAAAAAAAAAAAAAAAAAAACAAGAAGAGAGAATCGACACGGCGACACCTCCAGAAATGATGGCAAATCTTGTTTATCTAAACTCTAAAGAACTAAAAATAGTATCGCAAGTGTCTCCCCTGAAGCTGAAAGGGCCTCAAGCGGCTCTTCCTCCGGCGGTTGACTGCACAAATTGCGAGCCTTTAGGAGTCTTCTCCTCCGTCGACTTAAATTCACCGGCCGCCGCTTCCCAGTTCGTTTTCCGGCTATGCCAGGGGACAGAGCAAGCAAAACAAATTTAAGCTGTTTAAGAGCTGGAGAGAGTTGACTTGGTCTGATATTTCCATGTTAAATAAATAATCACATCATCATTCCATCCAATATGGTGACACTGCCCCCACCCTTTCATCATTCTTAAGGGACAATTTTAAATTAATCCTTCCCACCGATCCTTAATCTAATGGGGATTATCCAATTTCTCTCATCCACTAATTGGCTTCCACATTTTCTCAACTCTCCCCCCCACTTGGAGAGCTGCAGCAGGCAGGGTATATAAACTCTTCTGGGCAAAACAGATCCTTTCAATCAAATCCTTCCTTCAAGCAAAAAACAAGAAAGAAAAGGAAAGTCCTGAAAAACTTGAATCCGATGGCATCCACGGCGGCGCGTCCACTTCTCCTCCTAGCTTCCGCCGTTGTTCTCGCCTCTTTCCTGGCCACCGCCGCTCACGCCTCCGGTCTCTTCTCCACCCTCCCCAAAACCCTCGTCGTCACTGCTTCCCCAACCCCAGGTCAAGGTAAATCAAGATCGAAGCTTTCATGGAAGATTGCGATACTATGTCCAGAATCAATTTACCCAGATAGTTATATTATCGGGCAGAGCTTTTTTTTTTTTTTTTTTTTTGTAATTCCTGTTTTGGACTGTGTGTGCAGTTGTGAAGGGAGGAGAGGACAAAATCAAGATCACGTGGGGATTGAACAAGAGCCTGCCAGCTGGCACCGACGACAAGTACAAGACCGTCAAGGTGAAGCTGTGCTACGCGCCGGTGAGCCAGAAGGACCGGCCCTGGAGGAAGACCGTGGACCATCTCAACAAGGACAAGACCTGCCAGTTCAAAATCGTGGCCAGGCCTTACGCCGGAAACGACAGCATCGACTGGACGGTGGAGAAGGACGCCCCGACCGGCACGTACTTCGTACGCGTCTACGCTTTCGACGCCATGGACGGAGAACTCGGGTACGGGGAGACCACGGATGCGAAGAAGACGACTAACTTGTTTCAGGTGGAAGCAATCAGCGGCCGCCACGCCACCCTCGACATCGTCTCCATATGTTTCAGCGTCTTCTCGGTTGTCTCGCTATTTGGCTTCTTCTTTAACGAGAAGAGGAAGGGGAAGGCCGAATCCAAGTGAAGGAGATGGCAAACCAACCAACATCGTAAGGTCGAGGTGGGAAGGGAACGCATAAAACTGGCGAGTAGTAATATCGTTTCTCGCTTATTATTAATTAGTTCTATATATATGTTTGCTTTTTTCTTTTTTTGTGTTGAATTTTCCTCTTTTCTTCTCCCTTTTGGTTGCTTGAGACTTGAGAGAGTGGCACATGACATGAGAGATGGATGGTAGGTCGGGTATGGAAGATGGAAGGATGAATGAGAACCTAATACTTAAAATGTTTGACTTTGTTGAGTTGGCAAACAAGAGAGATCTCATTGGATACATTTTCTCTCTTTTGAATGACACTAGAGAAAAAAAGTCACCTTCGATCATAGGAGTTTTCGTGACTAAAGAGACACTTAGTTTTACTGAAAATATTAGTTAGTGGTATTTTGTCATGACAAGCATGCCAGTAATTAAAGGTCAATTATCACACAAAAAAAACTCGTGATTATAGAGATACAATGAGAAAATTTTCATGCCAAATTATCTATTATGTCATCGTTATTAAACACGAGAAAATTATCATGATTGAACTATAAAAATAAGCATAGGATTTTTCCGTGACTAATTCAGTTATTTATCACGGGATTTTGTCCAATAGTCATATGCATGTTGGGGACATAACCATGCTAGAGCAACGGGTTTTGTTTCAATGGTCACGGGAACCCGTGATTGTTAGTTCTTACTAATCACAGAAAAATTGCCTGAGAGTTAATTGTTACCGGTGATTGTTATTAAACTTTTAGTCACGGCTCAAGGGAAAGTCAAGTCTTGTGACTAGTCACATGAAACACTGTGATTTATATAAGCTGAAGTAACCGAAAAAACCGTAACATGTACGAGATGAATTTTTACTTGAAACAATTAAGAAGTATGAGCAATATATATCATTTACACATCAACGTTAATATGATTAAGAAATCTATTTCTTGAAGCATTTTAGTCACATGAAACCTATCTAACTAATCATATCACAAAATATGAACGCTTCAACAAAATAAGCTAGACTAATTTCTATCTTTCTTCAAAACAAAATTACCATTACACTCAACAACGTGCAAGGTTGAACTACTCTTCTCGTGCTTTACCCTTCTTTTTGTCACCCTCATTATGTTGCACTTCTGAATTATAAAAGAGAAATTAAAAATATTAGAATCGTTAAACAATACTACAATCATGTATGAAGTATTCTCCAAATTCAGATCGAGGAACTATTCCGAAAACAACACCAAATTTGTTCTTAACGATTAGGGCATTGGACGTCTCTGCTGACCATTAAGTGTAATTCAAATTCGTGAGTAGATCTCCGAGAAGAGTTTACCAGGGGCATCAGATAGATGCAAGTAGAGAGGCGACCCAAAAGCTCATTAGTAGGGGAAGAAGCTTAGAATAGGCTCAATTTGTAAGAAAATAATATCCAAAATTTAACTAATATGGCATAGTGGCGGACCCAAATTTTTTGTCAAGGTATTCACAAAAATAAATAATAAAGTAATTTAAAAATAAAAATAAAATGTTTAATTAATAAAGTACATCGATTCATCGCTTCTCATAGCGAACCACGACGTGTTTTCATATTCTAAAATAGTTTCTATAATACATTCATCACTTATGTTGCGACTCACGCCTTTTTCAATAAAAGTGACCACACAATCTCTCATAAATTGATCCCCCATACGATTTCGAAAATCGTTCTTGACAAATTTCATTCCCCAAAGAGGAGAAGGGGATTTAATAAAATCTTAATGGGCTTGGCCACTTGGATTCGTCATATTGTTAGGAGTTAATTAGAATCATTATATATTTTTTAATAATTCTATAACAACTATTGGTTAGTGTCTTAGTGGTTGAACGGAAGTGTAAGCAATAAGCATTGTCAAATTGGGAAGGCCCAACAATAATACTATTTTTAATGGGCTGGTTTGATCTAATTATGTAGTCTAAGGTTTGTCAACTAACTAACCTTGGGTATGAATAGGTCCGCCACTGACATGGCATGACCTTTTGTTAATGATCAATAATTTTTTCTGGTAATGACTCAACATGTGAGTATACCTACAGTTTCAAGAGGCAACCCGACAACAATAACGATGGAGCACTCCCTATCATTCGACAAGACCTTCATTGAGCATAATCTTGATTTAGAACTAATTAAAATTTGATAAAGAAAATCTGAAGAGCAATGATAGGGAGGAGGAAGAGAGCTTTGAGTTGTCAATTTTGATATTCATTAGAGTTCCCCCAATGATTTTGAGAAGCCAAATTTGGTAGCATGATCAAGGAGTAACACTCCCATGATTATGCATATTTAAAAGGGAAAAAAATACAACACTAACTATGTTTCTTTGGTAATACAAATGAAATTTTGTGTTTACATAATCATGGTTAACAACAACAAAAAAATGATGAAAGCAAAAGTTCGATTTGGATCTCTTGACCATAGGTAAAGGTGCGAAGTCTAAATTTTATGTTACCACAATCTACTCAATATGTTTTTTCTGTATCATGTTTTCTTTACTCTGCACATTTACAAGCAAAACCCACAAGCTCAAATTTTAAACACAAAAATAAATATTTAAATCTCTAAAATAGGTGATTTGATGCCACATTCCGCAGTCGCCATGGTTCTTATCTATAAATTACCCGTGATGCAAATGTCTTTTGTTGTATACTCAATAAAAGAAAGATGAGTTAATAATAAAACCCCTCAATGTGATGTGACATATGAAAGTTTTATGCAAAGGGTAGTAGCCAACCAACTCTTGTTATAAACACGCTGCTACGGATCGGTAAATCGCTGGAATTGACAAAGTAAGAATACGAAAGCGAGAATCGAAAACACGACACACGATTTACGTGGTTCACTAACACGATGTGTGTTAGCTAGTCCATGGGCGAGAGAGAGCCAGTTTCACTATATCGAGGAGATTATAGATTACAGAGGAGTATGAGAAGTATTTATTGTACTTCTCCTAGATCTAACCCTAATCCAATCTGGTAAAGGAACTATTCCAGTCGTAGCGAAACGCCCGACTATTCCAGTCGTAGCGAAACGCCCGACTATTCCAGTCGTAGCGGCTAATAGTGATTCAAGTCACATCAACAAAACACTTGTACCATCATCAAAAGAAGAGATCCACAACTCCAGAAAGGAGCGCATAAATTACCCCTCAAGAAAGATGGTTCTTAACAACGAAAACAATGAAAGCAAAATTTCGATTCGGATCTCTTGATCATAGGTAAAGGGGCAAATTGTAAATTCTATCTTACCACAATCTACTTAACATGTTCTTTATGTATCACATTCTCTTTACTCTGCACATTTACAAGCAAACCCACAAGCTCAAGTTTTAAACACAAAAAGAAAGATAATTAAATCTATAAATAGGTGACGACTCAAATTTGCTTTCGCATATCTTCATTCCCAATATATCTGATCTCACTCGTTTATATATATCTATTCACTCTTTTGGATAATTCATACATCTCTCTCAAACTTATCTCGAGACTCAAGGGATAAAAGTTCAACAAATCCAATTTGTCTGCTGATGTGTGTCACATTCTGCAGTCGCCATAGATCTTATCAACAAATTAACCGTGATGTAAATGTCTTTTGTCGTATAATCAATAAAAGAAAGATGATTTAATAATGAAACTCCTCAATTTTGACATATACAAGTTTTCTGCAATGGGTAGGAGCCAGCCAACTAAACACTTGTACCATCATCACAAGAAGAGATCCACGGCTCCAGAAAGGAGAGCAAAAATTACCCCTCAAGAAAGATGGTTCCTAACAATGAAATCAAAATTTCAATTTAGATATCTTGATGATAGGTGAAGGTGCAAATTCTAAATTTTATGTTACCACAAATCCACAATCTATTCAACATGTTCTTTATGTATTCTATTCTCTTTACTCTGCACATTTACAGGTAAACCTACAAGCTCAAGTTTTAAACACAAATATATATATATATATATATATATATATATATATATATATATATTTAAACCTCTAAAGAGGGCGATTACTCAAATTTGCTTTCAAATCACATCTTTATCAATTTATATTTGTATCACCTGTTTATACATATTCATCCACTTGTTTGGCACAATTGAAGGGGGTGCATGCACCCCCTTGGCTTTGGGCATGGTTGATAATGAGAAATCTTACCATCTCAACTAGGAGTTTTTCATTTATAATACATACATATTTAATTATATCAATGTTAATTATCTGTCCTAATATCAAAACACAAAACTCTAATCGTCGATCCCAACAATCCCCAGTTACAATTTTGTTCTTCCTCCACCCAACAGTAGCAGAGGCGCTGCGAGTTGCACACTGAGCTCGCCAAACCTCCAAGCTTTCCATCCTCCAGCCTCCAAGCTCTCATTCTCCAGCTCCAAGCTCGCCGAACCTCCACCCACCACCCATATTTCCGGCTCCTACCCAACAAATCCAAACTATCTCCAGGCTCCAGACTTTCGTTCTCCGTCCTTCACCTTCAAAAACCCTTCTCTTTTCAATCGTGAGCAGGGCTGGGAACAACAAGCCAGCAACACAAAAATTACTTTGTTTGACATCATCAATATTTAACAACAAGGTAAAATCTAAGTTTAAATTTCAATTAGGCAAAATACAGTTGTATATTCATAACTATCAGGTTCGTGACAAATATATCCACAACTATCGAAATACACGAAATATCCATTTCCGTCCATTCCGTTAGTTAACTTGATGACTGGACAGACGGTGGATGCTTAATTGGCGTGTTTCTGACCCCACTATATGACGTGGATTAAAAGAGAAAAAAAATTTAGGCAAAATACAGTTGTATATCCACAACTATCAGGTTTGTGACAATATATCCACAACTATCGAAATACACGAAATATCCAAAAATCGGAAGGTTGTGTGACAAATCTATCCACTTTCGTATGAAACTATAACGGCGTGTCAGACGACGTTAAATTGACTAACGGAATGATGAATCGATGCCATATCACATTCCACATAAGCCAAAAAGCAACCAAACTTTACACCGTTATCTGTTAGACCCCGCTGCTGCAGCCTTCTCTGTTGGCGATTTGGTTAGATTCAAGCTTTTTTTGTTTGAGATTCAAGCTTGGTATCACCATGGCGCCAACTGCATGGAAGCCGTCGGAGTAAAAGGGAGGCAATGGTTGGGGATTGTGGTTGGAATCGAAGCCTTTGGAATATTTGGCTATCCAGGAATGCTTTCATCTTTGACAGTAAGGCCCCTTCCCCGGCCTCTTTGGTAATTAAGTCGGCCCGTGACATCCTTGAATGGGAAGAAGCTCGAGTCTCGACACCTTCTTTGATTCCTTACCGGCCAACTCAGTTACCTTCTCAGTCTAGGGGTTCACGTTTCAACACTGAACCACCGCCCTGTACCTGAGTGATGTTCTGTGATGGGTCGTTCATCTCATACTCGAGTCCGGCGGCATATGGGATTACTATTGCTAACTCTCAGGGTCACGTGTACGACGGCAAGACTGAGACCTTCCTTTGTTCTCAACCGATTCAGGCGGAAGCTTTTGGTCTTCTCAATGCTATTAGGGTTGCTTCTCAGGATAACATCCCAACCTGTATTCGTACAGATTGTCAGGTGCTTTCCCTTGCGCTGCATCAGGAACCCTCGGCATGGCCTTGGATGTGTCGGGCTACCATTGCGCAGATGGTTCTCCTTCTCAGGCTTGCACCATCGATTCATGTTGAGTTTTTTCCTCGACGTTTGAATCGATTAGCGAATTGGGTGGCACGACATGCTAGGGCGGGATCGTTACCAGTGGATTGTGTTTTAATTGTCAATATTATTGCTCCACTCCTGTAATGTGACCACGGTTTTCTCGGTTTCTGATAGAATAAAAGGTTGCTTATTGTCAAAAAAATCTCTTTCAAACTTATCTTTGACTCTCAGAATATAAGAGTCTAACCTGATCAATTAATCTGTTGATCTTATATCACATTCCGGCTTCCGTAGTCGTCAGTTGCATGATTCTTATCACTAAGTTATCCGTAATGCAAATGTGTTTTTGTTGTATGATCAATAAAAGAAAGAAGAGTTAATAATGAAACCCCTCAAATGTGACATAGGAAAGTTTTCTGCAACCATTAGGAGCTAGCCAGCCAACGAAACACTTGTACCATCATCACAGAAAGAGATCGACGACTCCAGAGAGGAGGGCAGAAATTAGTCAAATTACCCCTGAAGCTGATAGGCTTGAAGCGGTGGCCCTTCCCAAGTCCAAGCTCTCCGGCGGTTCCCGGCAGTTGACTGCACAAATTGCGAGGTTTAGGAGTTATCTGGCGTCTTCTCGGACGCCATAAATTCACCAGCTGCCGCTTCCCAGTCGTTTTCCGGTCATGTCAGGGGACAGAGCAAGCAAAACACAAGTTAAGAGCTGGAGATAGTTGACTTGGCCTGATATTTTTGAGGCGTTGAAGATTAAGAAGAAGCACATACACTGCCCCACCGTTTCATCATTTTTTTTTCCCCGGAGAAAACCCTTCCATCATTCTTAAGGGACAATTGAAAATATCCAATTTGCCATATACTAATCGGCTTCACATTTTCTCAACTCTCCCCCACTTGGAGCTGCAGCAGGGTATATAACTATTCTGGGCAAAACAGATCCTTCCCATCAAATCCTTCTTTCAAGCAAAAGAAGAACGAAAAGGAACCCACCTACCTAGCCTGAAAACTTGAATCCGATGGCATACACGGCGGCGCGTCCACTTCTCTTCCTGGCTTCCGCCGTGATTCTCGCCTCTTTCCTGGCCACCGCCGCTCACGCCTCCGGTCTCTTCTCCACCCTCCCCAAAACCCTCGTCGTCACTGCTTCCCCAACCCCAGGTCAAGGTAATAATTAAGCCCTTTCCTATTCCATCTGGTGATGAATTGATGATCAAAGATCGAGGCTTTCATGGAAGATTACCAAAAACTATGTCCAGAATCAATTTATCCCAATGATTATATATCTTGGGCAGAGCTTAATTCAGCCTTGCAGGCAGCGCTTCAATTAAGCTTTGTGGTCTGTGTGTGTGTGCAGTTGTGAAGGGGGGAGAGGACAAAATCAAGATCACGTGGGGATTGAACAAGAGCCTGCCCGCTGGCACCGACGACAAGTACAAGACCGTCAAGGTGAAGCTGTGCTACGCGCCGGTGAGCCAGAAGGACCGGCCCTGGAGGAAGACCGTGGACCATCTCAACAAGGACAAGACCTGCCAGTTCAAAATCGTGGCCAGGCCTTACGCCGGAAACGACAGCATCGACTGGACGGTGGAGAAGGACGCCCCGACCGGCACGTACTTCGTACGCGTCTACGCTTTCGACGCCATGGACGGAGAACTCGGGTACGGGGAGACCACGGATGCGAAGAAGACCACTAATCTGTTCCAGGTGGAAGCGATCAGCGGCCGCCACGCCACCCTCGACATCGTCTCCATATGTTTCAGCGTCTTCTCGGTTGTTTCGCTATTTGGCTTCTTCTTTAACGAGAAGAGGAAGGGGAAGGCCGAATCCAAGTGAGGTGAAGGCAAATCAACCAAAATCTCCATATGTTCGCCTGATTTTCCTTTTTTGTTGAATTTTCCTCTTTTCTTCTCTTTCTTTTGGTTGTTGGAGAGAGTGGCACATGGGAAGGAGGGTGTGGTGTGGAAGTTGGAACTTGAAAGGATGAATGCCAACTTAATACTTAATATATTTGACTTAGTTCGGTCGACAAAAAGGAATTTGGATACGTTCTCTCTTTCTAAAGACGATATAGGAAAATTCACTTTCAATAACAAGATTATTTTATGTCTAATAGTTTTTTTCATGACTGAAGGCACTAGTTACAAATATAAAGTCGTGACAAGCATGTCCACGATTGAAGATCAATTATCACGGGAAATCTCGTGACTAGAAAGATACAATAACAAAAAAAAAATTCAATGACAAATAATCTATTTTGTCATGGTAATTCTTGTGACTAAGTATTAAACACGAGACAAATATCATGACTAAGATATAAAATAACTGCAGGAATTTTCTGTGACTAATATAGTTATTTGTCAAGGGATTATGTCTAAAGGTCACATGAATGTAGGAGACATGACCAAGTAAGGGCAACTGGTTTTTGTCTCAATGGTCACGGGGGAACCAATGATTGTTAGTTCTTACTAATCCTGGCAAACTCGAGTGATAGATTATTGCTACTATGATTGTTATTAAACATTTAGTCACGGAAAAAGTCTTCAGACTAGTCACAAGAAATATTGGGATTGATATTAGCTAAAAGTAATCGAAAACTACGATAGTTATGAGATGGATTCTCGTTTGAAATAATTAAGAAGTATGAGAAATATATATCAGCCACTCGTTAATGTTAATGTACAATTAAGAAATATATTTCTTGAAGCATTTTAGTCACATAGAACCAGTATAATTAATCATATAACAAACTACCAAAACTAGTCTAATTAATCATATAACAAACTACCAATGATTGAACAAAATAAGATAGAGTAGCTTCTATCTTCCTTCAAAACAAAATTATCATTACACTCGACAACGTGTAAGGTTGAACAACTCATATCGTGCTTTATCCTTCTTTCAACCGCCCTCTTTGTGTTGCACTTCTGAATTATAAAAGAGAAGCTAACATAATTAGATTCGTTATACATCACTACAATCATGTCAAAACTAACATTAGATATAACACATTCATGCATATACTTATACATTAGGGAGCACAACAAAAATAAGTCTATAGGCAATAAAAAGCATTAGCACTCTCTAACAACAACAAAACAATTACTCAATAAAAACCATGAAACGAGTATTCTGGATATGCTTTCATAAGCAACACCTCTCTCCAGACAACAACAAAAACGGCAATGCTATAAAGGACATGAATTTTGTGTTACAAAATTGCTTTCGTAAGGAATAACACTATAAACGACAACAAGATATAATAAGCTCTATAAAGGACATGAATTTAGTGTTCTAAAACTGTTTTCCTAAGCATCCACTCTCTCCAAAAAACAACATAACATCAACTCTATAATGGATAGGAATTAAGTGTTATATAAAATGGCTTTTATAAGCAACATCACTCTCCAAACAACAACAACACAACATAGATAGGAATTTAGTGATTTAAAATGGCTTTCATAAGCACGAGCACTCTCCCAACACAACAAAAAATTACCTCAATAAAAATCAAGGAATTGTGTGTTCTCGAACTATTTTCATAAGCAACAACACTCTTCAAGTAAAAAGAAAACAACAACTCAATCGAAAGGCCAAGACCATGCAAAAAAACAACAACAATTATATGTTGTACACTTAGTTATTTGCTTCCTTACATTACAAACAAGAAGTAGCAGCAACAAAAAAGCAAGTTGTATTCTAAGGGAAAGAATTATAAGTACCTAATGTTTGTCTATTACTACTTTCGAACATCTCTTGCCTCTTCTTCATTTGAGCCTTCAAATCGATCAAATCTCCAATATTTTTCAAATCGTACCCGTAACTTTAGTGACAGTTTATTGAAGAGCTTAATTTTCTTCAAGTCAGAATGTGTTTTCAACGTATCTTTAGTCTTCCCTTTCAAGTTCATGATTGCTCTGAGCACATTGTCACAAACGTTCTTCTCTATGTGCATCACATCTAAGTTATGACGCAATAGATGTGTTCTCCGATAAGAAAGTTCAAAGGATATGCATGATCACTTTTTTTCAAGGTGAATAACTAAAGCAAGTGCATCTGTCGATAAATAGCAATATAATGCCAAGCAAGGTCGTACCCGACAAAGACGCTGACTACTAGTAATGAGTTATATTTCATATTATCAAACCGGTTCTTTTTTATGGATTGTTTTAACTACTAAGATTATTAAAGAATCAAACGACAACAACACAATTTAGCTGAAATAAAACGGATAAATGCCACATTTGATCACTAAGATTACTAAATCGTGTCATGTTTAGTCACTAGAAAAATTTAATACAATTTTGGTAACTCGAATTACTGAAATAGGTCACATTTAGTCACATTCCCGTTAGCATCCGTCCAACTCCTGTCACTCGAATTACTGAAACATGTCACATTTAGTCACTCTCACGTTAGTTTCCGTCCAAATCCACTAATGGACGGAAACTAACGAGAAAGTGACTAAATGTGACATGTTTCAGTAATTCGAGTGACCTATTTTATTAAAATGTTATATATGTATAATAAATATGTCGAGAATATTAATGATTGTTTAAAAATAAAACATATGCATGTGTATAATCCGACAAATTCAATTTGCATAGTATACAAATCATACTCATCAATTTTCTAATTCGACTTTTACCCCTACACATTAAAAATCTTTCACAGATTTTACTCCACTCAATTGAATAATACTCACACAAATATCCATGAGTATGATTATTTTTGTCATTCTTACTTTTTTTTACTTTTCCGTTTTATTTAATATTCTGTTTTATTTAGTAATTCCATTATTTTGGAAGCTACAACCAACAGTTACAGGATCATTGTTTTACTGATAAAATTAAACTAGATCTAACGGTTCGCATGCACTATACCACATTGGACGGTGGTGAACACATAAGAGCATTGGTGCTGTGGAGCATAGTAGTAGGGCACCAACCCCAACCCGAACAGCTTATCCTTATCTCTCCTATTCTTCTGTTTGTTTCTCGTAAAATTCCCCAGAAAATTTCTCTCGGTTCCTTCATCGGCTTCCCGGATCTGCTTCGGTAGCGCTTGCGATCATGGAGATGGAGCGCGTGATCGAGTTTCCCCACACTCATCTCGATCGGAGGCCCCGAAAGAGGGCGCGTCTAGGCTGGGACGTCCCTCTTATCGCAAAAGTATAATTTTTTCCCCTCTGTCGAGCTTAAGCCTTCCTTTTTTTGTTAGATCTGGCCATAGGCTTTTTGATTCTACGCTTTGGATTGAGAGATCTTCGGGTTGGACTGTTGTATTGGATTTACTCGAGAAAATCTATGGCGTTCTTGCAAACTTTTGGTGTTGAATTTGGTAGCTTTTTCCTGTCTTCAGATATGGGTAGATCTTAAGTTTTCAAATTGATCTGCGACCTGTCTAGTTTATTTTTCGAGATCGATATTTTGACTTTTTTTTTTCTCTTATTAGCCTATGTACCGCGTTATTTTGTATCTAGCTGTTCTGGGATTTTCTAATCGAATTGAATTTGGGTGATAATTGTTCAAGGGTTATGCACGTATTGAGACAAATTTTGTGTTTTGTGATGATGTTGAGTGTGGATGAATGGGTGGATGTGTGTAGGCTCAGGTAGGGATATATTGTGGGCAAGAGATTGGTGATGTAACAAGCTTTGCGCCTTCAGGAGCAAACCCAGATTATACCATCAATTATAGTTCTCTGTTTGATAAGGATGTTGCTCGAAATGGTTCTCCCCCATGGAGGGAAGATGACAAGGATGGGCATTACATGTTTGCTATTGGAGATAATCTAACTTCTCGCTGTAAATACACTTTCCTCCACCTGTACCTCTTAATGGTTATGAAGCATGGGAAATCTTGACTTGGATAGATTTTTATTTCGTCACTGTTTGGAATTTCATCTATATAGTCTAGTAAGGATATGCTTTGTTTCTTGTCTATGTACTGAGTTGGTTTCTTTTTTCTCTTATTTTGTTCTTGCAGATAAGATCCATAGCAAAATGGGCGAAGGTAGATCATCTTTCCTAGGTGTATTTTTCTCTGTTCTTTCGTGAGATTGTATATTTCAGCTAAACTGTTGTCCTTGCTTTCCCTGTTTTTAGGTACTTTTGGCCAGGTCCTAGAATGCTGGGACAGGGAAAGGAAAGAAATGGTAGCTGTGAAAATTGTTCGCGGCATTAAGAAATATCGCGAGGCAGCTATGATAGAAATTGATGTGCTGCAGCAACTGGGTAAACATGACAGGGGTGGCAACCGGTGAGTGATCTACCGCTCTTCTAACCAGGCTCTGTGCCTATTTCATGAATTTTTTTGTCATTGGTTAAAGATGTTTATTCCTTGCAGTTGTGTGCAATTACGGAACTGGTTTGACTATCGTAATCATATCTGTATTGTAAGTATATGGATGATGTGCGATGGATTAATTTCCCCAATTTATGAATAACTCTGGGGTTAAGAGTTTTGGTGAATGCAAATGATGTCGACAGGTCTTTGAGAAGCTTGGACCAAGTTTATACGATTTCCTACGCAAAAACAATTATCGGTCCTTTCCCATTGATCTTGTCCGTGAGATTGGCAGACAACTGTTGGATTGTGTAGCATGTGTGTAAAAGATACTTGAGCAATTTTTCCCCGCATTGCATTTCATTTTTCTTCTGTTTTGGTATTCCTAGATTATGCCATTTTCCTTCGTTCTTAGCATCAGCATGAAAAATTAAATTGATTTGCATCATGGTGCTGTCACAGTTTTGTGCCTATTTTAGCTAATGTCCTGCTGTGTCTTAAAATTGCAGTTATGCATGACTTGCGGCTTATTCATACTGATTTGAAGCCTGAAAACATTCTATTAGTTTCATCAGACTATGGCAAAGTACCTGACTACAGGGTGAGTCCGTTTATCATGTCTCGCTACCTACTTGCACTATTTATTCTCTTTCAAGATGCTTGACTTCTTTGTTTTATGTGTATCAGGGTTCATCTCGTTCCCCAAGGGAAAGTTCCCACTTTAAAAGGGTCCCAAACTCGAGCGCAATCAAGGTCATTGATTTTGGTAGCACAACATATGACCGTCCGGATCAGACCTACATTGTGTCAACTCGACATTATCGTGCCCCAGAAGTTATCCTTGGTACCTACTATTTAGTTTTTTTTTTTTTTTTTTTTTGCTTGTGAGTTCAACGTCATTCTTCCTTTCATGATTCTCAACTCCCAAATCCTTGCAGGTCTTGGTTGGAGCTATCCATGTGATGTTTGGAGCATTGGGTGTATTCTAGTGGAGTTGTGCACTGTATGTTCCTCAACTCTGAATCCTTTTGTACAGTTAGGTCTCCTTTATGCATTTGCCTGTAACTGACTTGCTTTCCTCTTGATTTGCAGGGTGAAGCATTGTTTCAGACTCATGAGAATTTGGAGCACCTTGCAATGATGGAGAGGGTGCTTGGTCCTCTACCCCTGCACATGTTGAAAAGAGCAGAGTATGCAACACCACCGTCATGGTTAATTAGTTGCCCACCAGAGTTTTTTTTTTTTGGGTGCTAACTATTTGTTTGTTTAAGCGCTGCAGTCGACATGCCGATAAGTATGTCAGAAGGGGAAAACTGGACTGGCCAGAAGGGGCTGCATCTAGGGAGAGTGTTAGGGCAGTAATGAAGCTACCTAGACTGCCGAATTTGATAATGCAGCACGTCGATCATTCTGCAGGGGATCTTATCCACCTATTGCAAGGTCTCCTTAGGTACGATCCTTCGGAGAGGTTGACCGCTCGTGCAGCTTTAAGGCATTCCTTTTTCACGAGGGAGCATCCTCGGAGATAAGAAGCTGCGAGCGCCCTGTCTGAAACGAGTTCAGGTTGTTTGTTGTTAGGGGCTATACCCGTATGAGTTACCCGACTAACCAGCGGGGGGCGCTGCTGCCTCTGTTAAACTCATGTAAATATGTAACCCTGGTGTGCTTACACGAACCTCTAATACCCAATTCATTTGTCCAAGCTGTGAAAAGATATTGAAGTCATCTCCTGCCATTGTGATGTATGAACCTGATAAGTGCAAGCAACTTGCTGCTCTCTGTTTCTCCGTTGTCACATGTTCTGCCCCTGGTGTAGCTAATGTAGCACCTCCATTGTTTGCCATTTGGTGAGGGTGTTGAAAGAAACTTGACGTCTGTGTACCACAATCAGTAACCGGCGACAATGAAAGGCTCGCGAATTCAACATTTCTCTTCCTCGGCGGATAGCCTACGTCTATCATATGCAGTGAGAAACTGAGAGTGACGAACCCTTGCGAGTTGCGAGTTTTATGGTCTTGTTTGACGAGTTAAAAACAAGATCATAAAACTCTTGTCATCACGTTAAAGTTAAAGAAATCGTTGACAAAACCCAGGACAAATGAAGAAGATTGCTTGGAATCCAACTTCAATCCTGTGATTCCTGTCTCTACCAAAGAAAAAGGGATTCCGGGAATGTGATTGGAAATTGGAATGGCAATTGGGAATCGGCGACTGGCAAGTGGACATTATTCCCCATAAGCATTCAGATTTGTTGAGCCTTTCAGAGCGCTGAAAAGTTTTCTAATTTTATTATTTTTTTGACGACTTTTTATTTTATTTTATTTTAGTGTAGTCTTTGTTTTTATATAAAAAAAAGAAAGAAATATTCTTTTTGGATGAAAAAGGAGAAATAATAATAAGTTGCATGGTCCTGCTAGAGTTTAGCTGCCAATTCTTCTCTTCTCAGTCCGCGCAACTCACAAACACACATTTTGGCGCCTTTACTTTCGTGGTGGTTTCTCTCTCCCCTTTTCCCCTCTTTATACCCTAAGCTCCCACCCATTCCCCGTTCGGAGTAGTTACCAGCTCAGCCGCCAGCCACCGCCAGCGCCGCCGCCTTTGCCCTCCCAGATTTCGATATGGCTTTCTCTGTCTCCACGAAAGCTTCGATTTTTCCCACTCTCCCCTCTAATTCCGATCATGGGTACTCGCGGAAGCTCTTCTTCTCCAAACCTCCGTCTCTGTTTCAGCCGCCGTTCCTTAAATCCCTCAAATGCGTCCAATCTCTTTCCCCTGATTCCAAACCCAGTCCCAGCTCTTCCCCGTTCGCCTGCTCCGCCGTCTCTTTTCCCTCCTCGGCCGCCGCCGCGGCCGAGCTCGTGCCGGCGAGGCTCCAGCAGCTGATAACGGAATACGGATCCCTCACCGAACCGTCCGACCGGGTCAAGCGGCTGATGGGTTACGCCGCGCTGCTGCCTCCGTTCCCCGACGCGTCACGGGTCGCTCTCAACCGGGTCATGGGCTGCACCGCCCAGGTCTGGCTGGAGACACGGATTGACGAGGAAGGGAGGATGAGGTTTTTGGTCGACAGTGATTCGGAAATCACGCGTGGGCTCTGCGCTTGTTTGATCTGGCTGCTCGACGGGGCGGCGCCGGCGGATGTTTTGAGTTTGAAGACAGAGGATTTGGCGGTGCTGAATTTTGGATTGCCTGGTACACAGAGGTCGAGAGCGAATACTTGGCTGAATGTGTTGGTTAGCATGCAGAAGAGAACTAAAAAACTGTTGGCTGAAAGGGAAGGCAAGATGTTTGAGCCTTTCCCGTCTTTGATGATTACTTCTGATGGGATTGATGCGAAAGGCAGCTATGCTGAAGCTCAGGTTGGGGCCTCATCTCGTTGCTCTTTGTTCATAGCAATAAAACTCTTTTTGTGTGTAGTTTATTCATTCTGAGTTTCAGAATTCTAGTTTTATTGCAGGCAAGATTTCTGTTCCCAGATGAGAGTAAGGTTGAGGAACTTGTTAATGTGCTAAAGGAGAAGGAAATCGGCGTGGTTGCTCATTTCTACATGGACCCTGAAGTTCAGGGTGTCCTAACTGCCGCACAAAAGCATTGGCCTCACATCCATATCTCCGACTCCCTGGTCATGGCAGATAGTGCCGTGAAGATGGCTGAAGCTGGATGCAAATTCATAACCGTTCTTGGTGTGGATTTCATGTCTGAAAATGTCCGGGCTATCCTTGATCAGGCCGGGTTCGCAGAGGTATATATCACTTATGTAGCTTGTGCGCGTTATACTGTTTGCTAGTGTCGTGTAGGTCACTCGAAGTTATTGCTCATCTCGTGATGTTTGTTTTGCTTATGCGAATTGTTGCAATGCAGGTCGGTGTATACAGAATGTCTGAAGATCGTATTGGATGTTCATTGGCAGATGCTGCATCTACCCCTGCTTACATGAATTATCTGAAGGAGGCTTCAATGTCTCCTCCTTCTTTGCACGTTATCTATATAAATACTTCGCTTGAGACGAAAGCTTACTCGCACGAGCTTGTGCCTACAATAACATGTACTTCTTCCAATGTTGTTCAAACTGTTTTGCAAGTAAGCATACCAAGTACTATAGCTCTTGCATATCTAGTTGGTGGATGTTAGGAAGTCATGTAATGTACTCATTCTTCTTTTCCCTGATCCCTTTTATGGACAGGCTTTTGCTGAAATCCCAGATTTGAAGATATGGTATGGCCCTGACACTTACATGGGGGCTAACATAGCAAAACTATTTCAACAAATGACGTTTATGACTGATGAAGAAATCACTGAGATGCATCCAGCACATAATGCTGACACTATTAGATCATTGCTTCCTCGTCTGCATTACTTTCAGGTCAGTGTCCTGTTTTGGTGGCTTATGGGCATGGTCTGAGGAAAAAAGTCTGATTTAGTGGAATATTCTTCCAGGATGGATCATGCATTGTCCATCATCTATTTGGACATGAAGTTGTGCAGAAGATCAATGACATGTATGGTGATGCTTTCTTGACTGCTCATCTTGAGGTTCCTGGAGAAATGTTTTCCTTAGCAATGGAAGCAAAGAGAAGAGGCATGGGGGTAGTGGGTTCCACACAGAATATACTAGACTTCATAAAGCAAAGAGTCCAAGAGTCACTAGACAGAAATGTTAGCGATCACCTCCAATTTGTTTTAGGCACAGAGTCGGGAATGGTCACTGCTATTGTGGCTGCAGTCAGGAAGTTACTAGGCTCCTCCACAACATCTTCCGAAAAAGCAAAGGTCAAAGTCGAGATTGTCTTCCCAGTCTCGGCTGACTCAATATCACAAACATCAACCAGGTCACCCCAAGGAGTAGAATCGGTACAGCTAGGGGATATCATTTTGCCTGTTATACCTGGTGTTGCTAGTGGTGAGGGTTGCTCTATCCATGGGGGATGTGCTTCCTGTCCGTATATGAAGGTCAGTACATTTCTTTTACATCATTTCTTGTTTTTCATTTTTTCCCCCCTTGCAATCAGTAACGGTTGTCTTGCTTTTTCTGTAAGCAGATGAATTCTCTGAACTCCCTCCTTAAAGTATGCCATCAATTGCCAGATGAGGATAACATCATTGCCCCTTACGAAGCCGAAAGGTTTAAAACTCGGACGCTCAGTGGGAAAGAGATAGCAGATGTTGGTTGTGAGCCTATATTGCACATGAGACACTTCCAGGTTTTCATTTTGCACATCCTTTTCAATTCATTGCAACATTAACATGTGCTGTGTTTCTTCTTTTATAATTCACGACTGAGAAGTTTCACAACACATATAGGCTAAAAAGGAAATGCCGGAGAAGCTCGTTGATCACATCTTGCACCAGCATGGCAATCTTGGTTCATGAGGGGATCCAGCGACTCCCGAGTAGGCACCCATATGGCCCAAAAATAATCTTGTCCTGCTGTGAAGCTAGCTTTAGCTGACAATCACTCAGTTTTCTCGGTTTTACTTCCAAGTTTTCACTTATAGGAATGAATGAATGGATATTATATATAGCTCCAGCAAGCCATCAGTGGTCAATAACCCCTTCCATGTTAAAAATACACGAGAAAGCACTTCCAAAGAAGTCATGATCTTCTTCAGTAATCATGAGAGGTGCACTTCCTCATGCCTACAGGCTACAGGAAGGAAACTTGCAGAGCATTTTGTATACTGAGGTTATTCTTTACCATTTCGATTTCGATAATGTAATATTTTCGATCCGGCTATTGGCATGGGGTTCTGTATGATTTGATTGGGGTGGCCACTCAATGCCCTATGTCTGAATTAGAGCTAGCAGTGCCTTTTAATCGTCCATTTTGCAGAAGAGAAAAAGGGCATCGTAGACCACTCCTCGGATAACAATGATACATGAAAATGAGTTGTATAATTTATAAATTACTTGGCTTCTACGCCATTTGCAGCTATCAGGATTCAGGCACTGATACAGAACGATAACAAACTCTATTTGCGCCAAGAAAAGAGAGTCTCGGTCACTTACAATTGTTTGAGGGAAGCTGTGGTGCTAAATGATCCCCCACACAAACTACACAACACCATCTTCACTGCATATGGATGCACCCAGGCTAGCAAAAGGTGTGGTGACAAATTATCTTACGGTTAGTATAGAAGTATTAACCTAACAAAAATTTATCACAATGGTATGGATTAATGAATTGTTGTGTTTGTTGGAATTGACTTAGTCTTTTAGCAATTTTCACAGGCTGAAAAGGACCTTGCTTTCAAGTTTTCGTCCAACATAATGTATGAGATTTATCTAAATTAGGCGGTCATATGTTGTGGTCTACACTCTACATATACAAATATACATTATAGGAACAATATCAAGCTTTATATTTTATGAGTCTAAAAGGATGAACGTTTAACTCTTGAGTGGTTATTCAAAGTATTAAGTATGTGTATATATTAGATATATAACTAATTATTTATCTGGTTAATTTGGTTTGGCTGGTTAGGAGTGTCTGAAACCAAACCAAACCACCTAAACCTAAAAACTTTAACCAAACCAAACCAATTAACCAAACCAAATTATCCAAATAGTACTGGTTAAAACGGTTACCATGGTAACCACACCGTTTGAACACCCCTACTCATTACGTATGTGGAGTGAGCTTCAAGGAACCATTACATTATTTAGTCACTAAATCTTTGTTCTTCTTCCATTCTTTCTTTAATTTACTATTTACTTTACTCGAGGACCAATTTTTGGATTTGGTCACTTAGTCTATAACTTGGGGCATAAGGAGATATACGGCACTAATAAAATTTGTATTATTATTTCCTTACATTGTTGATTGCGGCGAAGATCAACTCGTTAGAAGTGACGTTTGCTTATGATCGCCATACCCAGCTGGCTGACGATTCATAAATTACATTTTAATGCAAGTGATTTGATATTATTAGTTTACTATTAAGATCTATGCGATCGTTTCGGATGATGGATTTCTGAAACGAGAAAATTTGACCCAATTGTCTCATCACACAATTGCTATCATTTCGAAATATATACTTTTCCCTCCTCCCGTCAATTCGAAATGCTACAAAAACGAGCCGATTCAAATTGTATCGATCAAAATGGGTACATCCTGATTCTGTGTTGCCGGACGAAGTAATTTGACCCAATAACTTCATTTTGATGCAATTAGACGCCTAATTGCCTCGTCCAATTCCATCCCAACAACAACCTCTATATTTTTCCTTTGAATCGATCATGTTGAAGTGAAAAACGGTAAAAGTAAAATTATGAGTATACAAGGGGATTAGCTTATGGAGCTAGCTAGGTAGGGCAGCTATTAAGAGAAAAGGGGGTGTGATTAAGCCATATATGCTATGGGGCAACAATGTGATTGGAGGCTATTGGAGGCTACAGTGCTTTGCTTCAGTGCTAAGACCAGCGTGCTGTCGAGAAGATGGCTCCAACTGTGGCGACGCTACCCTTTCTTCGAGTTCCCGCTCTCAAACGCCAAGCTCCGCAGTTCTAGGAAGCTGCTGCCGCTGCCCTCAAACACCAAGTTCCGCAGTTTCGTCGCCTCCAGTTCTAGGAAGCTGCTGCTGCTGTCGCTGCCGCCGCCGCCGTCGTCTTCGGACTCGGATCACATGACACAAATTCAGGATTTCAGTATCTCACTTCGCGAGGAGGATGGTTTTCAGAAGGAGGATCTCGACCTGTTGCTCTCGTTAATTGGGAATCATCATGCCGATGGATTTTTTTATATCTCCAGTTAAGTTTGTGCTTCATGTCAACACATTCTCTTCTTATCCCTGCTACTGCTACAGTTTGCGGCGGGTTCCGAATTGGAGCCGCACAAAATCCATCACCCTCAGTGGTTGCGATCTCACCTCTGCTGTTGCTGCTGCTCTCGCCGCCGCCGATCACAGTAGTAGTAACGGTTTGGCTTATTATCTGGGCAGCCTCGAGCGCCTCGCTCTGGAATATGTCAACCTCGGCGAACAACTTCTCCACAGATTCCTGGACAATGCTCCCCGCCTCGTGTCGTTGAGTCTGAATGTAGTTTATGGGATTGATAGCCTGGAGGTGGTCTCTTCTCCTCTGCTCCAATCGTTGCGATTGCGATATTGTTGCAGAGGCCAAAATCACTCCGACAGAATGCGCAGGCTGAGGATTTCGTCTCCAAAGCTCAAGAGCCTGTCGATGTGGTCGGGGCTGGAGGAGCTTCAGATTGATGCTCCTCATCTCGTTACTCTCTCCTGGACTGTTTTTCCTGATGACCCCCTCACCAAGATTAATCTCGTCAATTTGGCATCTACTTGCCGGTCGGAAATTCGCTTGTGTTCGCCGTCCGTCACATTTTCACCACGGTGGTTGAGGGCGTCCCTCTCCGCCGCCGCATTCGGTCGATTGCAACGTCTGAACTTGGTTTTCGACTTTTTTAAATACCTATCACTGGAAAAGGTGTGGTTTGATTTAAGCCAAGCCGAATATGATTCCGCACCTCGAGCAATTGATCAAGTGGAATTTCCGGTACCTTGGTACTACACTTTTTGTGATGAGGTAGTTGGGCGGTTTTTAGAGCTTTTCTTTTCAATTTGTCATCCTGAATTCATGTCGTTCAATGTTTGGCGCAACAACGGCAATCGGCGGATTGCTCAGGTATGTGCACCACTCTTTGTTATTACATATGTACGCGTGAATATTGCCATGATTCATTCCTTGTAATGACTGTTTATATTAATTACCAAACGCTCTTCTCATTATTATTTGTGTTTGGTACAGTATATGTGCCATGAGTATATGATGACTGGATCTCTGGATCGTTGCGTGACTGTTGTCGCATCGTGGAGGCATCATTTGAAAGATATGAAGATCGATGATGAAATTACTGGTGGTATGATGGAGATTTCCGAAGACGTGATTTCATCCCTTGCCAATCGAAAGACTGTTCGTTTTATGTTTACGTGGTCTTAGCTTAACTTTGAAAACTTATCCATTATAGTTTAAATCGGTTGATTCTTTCTCTTTATCTTAATTAAACATCTACAATGAAGATAGATAGTTATGACTCACTAGTTTCATAGGAGCAGGGGGGATGAAATGTAATGAGTCATATAGAAATTGCCTTCACCTTTCATTTTATTCGGTCAAAAATTTTGAGTCTTGATTTAATTATCTGTAAATAAAGTATCATTAGTAATCAACCCACACTTTGCAGCGGGAAATGCTTGACTTGAGTAATCTTTTGGTACTGTAATGCAAGGTTGGGGAGAATGCACAAACGAAAACAATTTTACTAATATTTGCTAACTATTGAGACTACATGTTGATCCGACAATGGTCACAGAATTCTGACCTCAACATATATACACACATGGATCATACAAAGGGTGCCATTGTGAATCTGACAAAATAACCAAAGGAATCACAAAATAAGTTTGCTGAAAATGCAAAAGAGCCTACAAATTGCAAGAGCATATAGACAAAAATTGTTTGAATTGTTGCATGGAGCATTTGAAAGTTCATGGACATGGATAGCGAAAATACAGACTATAATTCAAGGAACTTGCATGTATGAAAATACATCCGAGGGTAAGAAGGAAAAAAGGAGAAGATTTAGTTGTACATAAACACACTTGATTGAGTCTTTACAATAAACTCTTGAACTTAATTTCATTTGATTCTCCTAACTTGCAACAACAACAATAAGCATTAGAGAGCTGAAGCTTCACCAAATAATAACCCAAGCATGAAATGATACAAAAGGTTTACATGTAGATTATATTCGGGATATTGATTATATTAAGAATATCCGGAGCAAACAAAATGAATGACTTTACTTGATATCATATAAACACACAATATTGAACCTCTAAAACAAACTTTGGACTATCTTTCATTTAGATTCACTAAATTGTGGCAGCATTAAGAAGCATTTCACTCCGTGGATGGCTGAAACAAAAATAACATAAATACGTAATAATATAAAGTTCCATGAGTTTACATGTCCTCAATTTGCTAAAGAACTCACGTGCTCACATCAACACTACTTGATCTTGTGGAATTTCCAATGTACAATTGAACCCTCTCTTTACCACAATTCCTTAATTTGCTCAGGTGGCCATAGTTTCTCTTCGTGGATGGCTGAAACAAAAATGGGGAGAGAAATATTTGATGTATTAGCCACCAATTACAGCTCAAAATGGGGAGAAGTCGAAAATAAAGCAGTCTGTGAGCAATCCAAGCTAAGAAATTTGTGGAGTTTTACATTGAAAACATATAGAACTGAAGCAATTTCAGAAGTCAAAACTAACTAAAATAGGAGTAATATGCAACTTATCGACAATAATATAACTAACAGACTCTCAAAGAATCCTCATCCATAAAGAATCCCGAAATTAAACCAGCCTCTCTTAACTTTTCAAGCATCATTGAAAGGATGTTCATGATAAGGTTGAAGAGGAAAGGAGACGTAGGAAAATTTTAACGAAAGTAGCCCCATATACTCATAGCATAAGAAAACATAGGCTTTTCCTAACACCATAAACTCTAAACTCCAAAATAATCAACAAAATTGGAGTGATCAAATATAGTTAAGATAATGTTTAATTTTATTAATTCATTTGTCAACTTATGAAGTTAAATATGTTTCTTTAAACATTATTCTACATCTAAAATTTTTATCATAAAAAATTTGAACACGTTAAAAGTGAAGTAAAACAAAACAATGTCTTAATATGTACACAACATTTGTCTCTCAACCACAATATCATTAACTATATACATGAACTTTTCAATATTTGCACTAAGCATCAAACTCTAATATCATGCATAGACGGATAGTAAGCACCTGAGTTTAACATAAAACTAAAAATATTTATAAAAAATGCACCAAAGACTATTGATAAACTGTAACATTAAACATACCTGTGTGTGGTTTTGGACAGAAAATATATATATTCAATTGGAAGATTGAGGGAGCAAAAAAGCAGGCGTTATGGTTCTGGACAGAGGAGGTCGTAATGTGTTTAGTAGAAGAAAATTTTTTTTTTTTTGGTCAAAAGATATCATTTATTGATCCAAAACAAATAGATAATTACATCCTGGAAAACAGCCAGGCCCGAAAATCAAAGAAACGACACATAGTCAGATACAAAGAGAGGGCTTTTCTAGTTATCGAATGACAGATCTAAGCTCTTCAATTCTTCCAATCCAATCTCAATAGTCAATACCATTTGAAGAGCAAACTATTCAATCTTGGGATCAAAATTACTCCGGACAAAGTGGAACACAAAAGATTTACATTGAGATTTCGGAGAATAAGATCTCTAGGAGTTCGTTCACTGTTATATCAGACAAATGAATTGGTGAGTTTCTATACTTTTAGAGACAACATGATTCTCAGTCTCAGGTCGTCAGACGATATTTGGATATATCAAGAAATCATTCTTTAGAGGAGTTTGCAATTCACATTCAGGTATGCATAGCTCAAGCATGAACCGCAATAAATTGGAATATGAAAGTTTTGACAAATTCTTTTATTGGGAATGCTTGTAGAACGAACACCATGCTATATGACACTTATATAAGTTTTCTATTTTAAACTACATAAATAATTAATTGAATTTTATTGAAAAATTATATCATCGATGTTAAATAAATGAGATATAATACCTTGAAAAGTAATAAGAGACGGATTACATACTTAGAATTATTATAGATATAATAATCTGATTGTAAACCAACAGTAATCTAGATTACCTATCCTAATACAAATTGAACTCGACTACTTATAATAATACATAATAACAACATGAACAATTAAAGGACGAAAAAACCGAAAGACTTTTTCGTGGAAACCCAAATGAAATAAGCCCGCGGCAAAACATAAGAAAAAACCCTAACCTAAAAGAATAATCAACCCTTCCGTA